TATATTAGATAAAAGAGATATGCTTTTTATTATTATTATATATTTATCTTTAGAAAAGTATATTGCTGATTTAATACAGTTTTATTGTGCTAATTAGTCATATGGTTCATTGTTATCAAAGATACACATGTTAAAAGATCATGCTATTCGATTTTAAAAAAAATAGGGTTTTGGATAAAGAAATAGGTTTGGGTACTACAAACAAGGAGGCGAATTCATTTATTACGAGTTTAAAGAAAAAGGTCTTCTTAAATCACACCATCAAAAACTAACCCTATAAACAGAAACCTTGAGCCAAACTTGAGAAAAAAAAAAAAATATTGCAAATATATAAATTTTTAAAAAAGAAAGTAGGTCAATTATAAAAGTTTGGAGACACTAAATTAAAAAAATATTATAAATTTTGGGTTGGTAGGTTAAAAGCGTACGTACTTTTAGGGAGGTATAGGATATTTGAAAAAGCATATGGCAAAATGTGAGAGGGGGAAGGTCAAAAAAAGTAGCGTATGTACTTTATGGACGACCCCTAATTGCAATGGCCTCAACTTTTAGGGTTTGTTCAGATCTTAAGTTCCTTACTTAGGTATTAGTTTTTAGTAATTAAATATATAGTTATGACATTAGATTCACTATTATCACGCCTAAACGCTGTTAAAACTCTCAGTTAATGCATATATATTTCCTACTTGTTTTCCAAGGCACTTACTAAGGAGTACTGTACTAAATCTGCCACTAATACAACTTCTTCATATGGATGTCCATAATATATATACGCAGCAAAACCACTGGTTTCACATCCCCTTACCTATTGCATATTAATTTTATGACATCCAACGTTTCTTTAGGTACTTTGAAAGTCTAACTTCTTAATCCTTTGTATCTGCCCTTAACATATGCATTGTTAAGGCCTTCATAATGTGTACCTCTAGGGCTAATATAAAAGGCTATTTTTTTGTGTGATATAATTCTGTTGTGAAAAAAAAATGGATATTGAATTTTAATTCAATTTAATTTCTTATTAATTAGTAAACCTTTAGCAAAAACTCAGATACATTTTGTTTACAAATGTCACGTCACATAAGAAATAGGAGGCTGGGGTGAGGGGGGTCACAAAACCGTATAGGGGAGGGAGATATCAAAAAAGAGCAAAAAAAGTGTCACATTACTTGAGCAGCCTTTTAACTACAAAAATTAATTCCCCAGGTTTAATTTTAAAACATTGAGAAAAAAACAGGATCAAAAGCTTTTGTTATTATTTAAGAGTAGAAAAGTAATTAAGAGGTTTTAAAGGGTATGAAAAAAGACATGCAAAAAAGTTAAACTCATTTGTATAATAGTTTAATTAAAGAACTAAAAATATTTGATAGTATAATTTTAATGTATTATAATATACACTAATAAAATCTCTAAATTTAAAGTAAACATGTTTGAATCTGTACATTGGCTCAAAGGCCAGGTTTGCTAGATTGTGGAGCTTTGTATCCCATGGGAGTGAAATAAGTTTATATAAAACCTATTAATTATACTTTTCACAACAACAATAAAATCATAGATAAATTTTATTTATTTATCTCTCAGTATTACATAATTTAAAAAGTTGTATCATATTGATTGAACTTTTGATTTAATTATCAATCGAATTTCTGAAATTCATCAATATAATCAATCTATAGATTATTAGCATTGTTAATTTTTTCCTTATGTTTATTTGTTTTCACGTTTTTTAGTTTTTAAAAATGTTTTTGCTATGTTTGATGTTTTTTCTCAATACTTATTTAATAGGAAAATCAGAAAATAAAATTTATAAATAAATATAAAAAATAAAATTTATTTGTATATAACTATATATAATTATATATTTGTATATAATTATTAGGGTGTCCCAAAAAAAAAAAAAAAAAAAAAAAGCTCTCTACTGATTCCCATTCTATGTGACCTAAATAAGTACTAAAAAAAATTTGACGGTTTTATTTTGACAGGAAGTGCTAGATGTAAAATCTGAGTTTTACTGTTTTAATGTTAAGCTAGGTTAATATTAACAGAAAACACATTTTAGAAAATTAAAACAAAACAATGGGTATAAATCATTTCCAATTGTTTTCTACTATTTAACTTGATAGATTATATTTATAAATATGAAAATACAAAAAAAATACATGAAAACTAATATTTATTAGCAAATTTAAGATTTTATTGCGGTAAAACATTTCTCAAAAAATACAACTTTTTGAACAGTTCCCAAGCTCCTTTTTAGTCATAGTCTTAGTCAAGTTTTTTCTAGACTTTTTAACTACAAAAAGTACATTTTGAAGGTGATCTTCATCTATAGTAGCTGAAATAAATACTTTAATGAGCTTAATGTTTCTTTCTGCACCATCATTTACAACAGACATGTTTTTGATCCATGCAATAAAATCTAGCAACTGAGGATGGTTAAAAACACCTATAGTATTAAGACTATTATTAAGCCATTCTTTTATACTTGCTCTTGATATTTTAAAATGTTTGAAGAGAAGGTAGCTTTGCTTGGAAATCAACTCAGGTAGTTCTGTGGTCTCTCCAATTTGTACATTTGATGGTTTACAACGCTGAAATTCATTTGGCTCTTCAAACTCAATCAGAGCTAAAAGCATTCTTAGCTTTGTTTCAGAAGGAACTTCTTTATCCCCAAAGGAAAAAACACAGAGTTGGAGTTAAGTACCACGTATGGCGTCCCATGCTGAGAAGCAAAGCATTTCAAATATTCTTACTAACTTTTCTCAATGCATAGGCTGTCTGGATAGCTTTCAAATCATTGTAGGGAGCCAGAAATCCTAAAAAACTTTTTAAAAACCATGGAGCATAGCAAATTGCAATGAACAAACTTGCATCCTTCAACTGCAGCATTTCTTTTTCTGTCAAGATATTACTGATATCTTTAGTCATATAAAGAGTCAGGATGTAGATCGCATCTGCTAAAAACCTTGCCTCATGGCAGGCGCCAGGTTGATGGAACTTAAAATCTTGTACTTCCACTCCAAGGAAGAAGGAGGCAAGCTTACAAACTATACCATAATCATTCCTTGAAAACACTATATCAGTAGTTGCATTAGTCAAAAATGTCTTAGCTTCCTCTGCAATAGTGCGAAAAACAGAGTCAATCTTCAGATCATCTCTTTGCCAGTCCAATTTACATAAATTTTTCACTTCATTCACTTTCTCAGAGATTTCAGGCCACTTGTTCTTTAGCTTGACATAAAGAGCTCTTCTTGGACCTTTAGTTTTCTCATGAGTAAGGGCAGCCATATAGTGAGATACATGTACTTCATTTATGTGTCTCCTACACATTATCCACAAAATTGGTAATTTCAAAATATCTGTAAGAATTTGGACTGCTCCATTTACTCCGCCTGTATTGCTTACAGTTGTATCACAGCATATACCAATGATCTGCTCTTTACACCCGTAATATTCTAAAAGATTGTGCACTTGTTCTGCTTGGTCAACTCCCTTTGAAGAGGGACATTGAACAACACCTAAAAGATGGTCTTGTCATCGTCATCAGGGGAACTCACTGAGACTGCAAGTCGCTCAATTTTTTGAATAATGTTAAGCCCAGTGGTAATTTGTTCCAACAGTTTGGTATCAAAATGAAGAATAAGCCGTCAGCCTTTAAGATGATTAGATATTGAAATCCACTCCGAGTCTCCTTTAAGTTCTACATATTTGAACTTTTTTCTATGAAGTGTGCTTCGTGAAAGCGGTATATCATTAATTTCTATACCTCCAGCTTTAAATACTTCACTTAAAATTGCCAGATGAGGTCGTACACCAACATTGAACCTTGTTGCTGGAATAGCAGTACATTCAATGAGCTTTTCAACATTCACTGCTAGATTTATCCTATCTCCAGAATTGTACCTAGGTATCATTTTATAATATTTTTCTACCTATTTATAATTATATACTTTTCAATAAAACAGCTTTAGCTTGTGAAAATTACAACTATGTTATTAAAATAATACTATAGCTGCGTTTCCAACCGTTACCCAGGAAATCATCTTTCTCACTGATTTCAGAGTCCTCGTTTGACTTTTCTTCCTCACTGCTGAATTGAATCTCTTCTATCATGGAGTCATGTGACAACAAAACATCATTGATGTCTTTTAAGTTTTTCTGTCTCTCTAATTCTTTCTCTCTCAACTTATCTAGCTTGTTCTTTCTCCTGTTTGCATCCAGTACTCTTCTACTGTAGTCTTCATCGACTTTTGTTTCCAAATATCCTTTTCTATGTAACTTCTGGTCTTCATAAAAACTAAGAAATATTTAAATCTATTAAGCCATTTATAAATAAATTAATAATTGTTCTAGTTTTTCTTGGAAGATGACCAAACCATGTAAAGAGTCAAACGTAAATATTTTAAAGGAAATAATATGCTATTACTTAAGTTACTTTTAATTGGAAAAAAATCTCACTACTAAAAAAAGTGTTATTTAATGAGCTTACTTTATATCTTCCAGCTTGGCATCATCTGTTCTCAATCTATTAGCAAGAATATCTTTTTTTAAATTCTTAGTCGAGATGTCAAGCTGATAGGATTCTGTGAGAAAATCTTTCTCTAACTTTGATTGTTTATCAAGACTGCTGTTCCAGTTTAGAGAAGACAATTTTAAGTTTAATGATTTTGGTCTTTATATTGTACCCACAAATCACAAATTTCTTGCCAAACCCAGCATTATCCCAAATTTTTTTAATCCTAGATACCAAGCAAGAATTATCAGGATCTGTGCAAACACGATTTTCACAAACAAGATCCTTGGATTTCGATTTCAATTTGCAACCAACATTAGTAGAAGTGGGTTTGTATTTAACTTGTGACTCGCGAAGGATAAATTGATAGTATTTAAGAATATCACCATTAGATGGAAGCTGTCTCTGAGGTAACTCCCTAAGTGGGTACTTCAATAGGTCAATATACCTCAACCTTTCTGTATTTTTCCATTTTTTCTTATTCTGTCCTATCGTCTTCTTTTATTTAGCTGTTCTACCCATCTTTATATGAATTTCGAAATAATCAGTTTTTTAACTAAATTTTTACTAAATGTTACACTTGCATCTAAGTTTACTGTTACGGCTTTTATAACCGTTTACACGAGAATTTCTTCGTGCACAAATTAGAATTCCGTCGTGCACAAATAATTCCATTTAGAAATTTTTTCCTTCAAAAAAAATTTCTAAATGGAGTTATTTGTGAACCAATCCATAGGGAATTTTACCAACTAATAATATTGTCCAGAGGGAAAAATATCAATCGCTAACAATGTTCATAGGGAATGATCCTATTCTTTAATAATATCCTATGGGAATTATTTGTGTACTAATTATTACATCATATTAAAACATATTGAAATACTAGATAGCGCTGTTTTTTAGTAAATACACATATGTGTACAAAACCGTAAAACTCAGAATTTACTGAATCTATCACTTCTACTCATTAAAAAGTTAAAAAAAAGATTTTGGTAGCTATTTAGGACCTATAGAATGGGGATCAGTTGAGAGCACATTGAAATTTTAAAAAAAGTGTGTTTTTGGGACACCCTGATAATTATATATATAAATATATTGTTTTATTAATAAATTTTTTATAATGGAAGAAAATAAATAAAAGATTACGACGGTTTCTTTTTTAAATGTACTTGATGCCTGTCTGAAACTGTTTCCTTTGTATTGCCCAAGTTTAAGTTACCCTGTCTGAAACTGTTTCCTTTGTATTGCCCATGTTTCAATATATAAATACAATTATACATTTTGCCTATGTTAGTACAAAATAACTTTAAATATATGTAAAATCTAGTTTCAGTTCTGTCAAGTAAGAACATGTTACTGTACTTTTAATGATCAAATTGTTTTCTTAAAGTGTTTTATTAAATCATCTGGAAAAAAAATGTCAGCTTAATTAAATTAACAAAGTCAGCTATTAAATTAACCCCCACTTTAATGTCATTAAAGCTAAAATAGATAAAATTAAGTAAATCAAAAAAATTAAAAATCTTGAACAATATATGTTATAAAAACAAACTAACATAAATATAAAATCATATATAATACTAATAAATATCAATACACACTACTAATGCAATTTGGTATCTAAATTAGTAAACCGAACCATATTTAAGTATTTTTTACAAGACTATAACTGTCATTGTAAGTTGTTCAAATATTTCCAATATTATAGGGCTGAAATATTGGAACAACTAATATGATGACAGATATATAGTCTTCTAAAAACAGTACATATAAAAAATAGATGTATTTTAGATTTAGTATATGTAAAAAAACCAAGTAACATTTTAACTTGATTAATTTTTAGTTTAATATGAAACAATAAAATTAACTTAAATTTTATGTAAGCTATGTATATTAATGTTTTTCTAAAAAATGCTTGTCTCAGTTGCTTTTTTTAATCCCTGAAATGTAATAAAACTTTGAATAGCTTATACTTATGTAACTGCTTATGTAATATTTTATGCTGCTCTCTCTCTCTCTCTCTCTCTCTCTCTCGCTCTCTCTATATATAAATTAGTAAAAACACTTAACTAATTTTTATTTTGTTCTACAGTTTGGTTTTCTATCAGAAGGATCATCAGGCTTCCTGATGATCCTAAAAATTCTTATATAAATTAACTTCAGTGCATTAATTTAAATAAGATTTTTTTGGCATTCTCCTACAAAAAAAAAAAAAGGCTGTGGCAACGCTACTGCTTATCATACTCATGTCTACTTTTTTATTTCATTTTTGACATGACAAAAAAAAAAATGTCATCATTAAAAACATTTTAATAACTAGCTAGGAAAATTATTCAGTTTTTTTTTGGGTAGCTAATACGAATAACCCAAAATAACAAAACTTGTTTATAATCAGGTGATTCACTAAATTACCTAGAAAAAAAGGTTAACATTTTCCCCATGCAACAATTTATGTGCTTTAAAAGTACCTAAGTTATTGGATTTCCATTTAGGTACAAATTGATAATTTTTACAAAGAACATATTTACTAAAAAATTGTCAACCATCTTTATAAGTCAAACATTACTGCACCATTTTTGGTGTGGCTTACACTAGAGACAAGTTTACTAACACTAATTTATTTACATTAAACTTTTATAAGTTAGGTTGAATAATGTTTTCTATTTAGGTAGGAATACTTTAAATAATCAAACATGCTAAAATACTAATATTGTAAAAAAATAATTTATGTCAGACTGCTGAGTTTATCTAACAACAATAAGTAAATGACATTCCTTACATATCTGCTAAGTAAACAACATTCCTTACATATCTGCTAAGTAAACAACATTTCTTACATAAATGCAAAGTAAACAACATTCCTTACATATCTGCTAAGTAAACGACATTCCTTACATAAATGCAAATTACTATTACTATGGAAATCCCAGAAGTTTGTTTGTAATTATAATTATCACTGTTTATCATATATTTTATTTCCATTCACATAAATAATATATACTAACTGTACAGCTATTTCACTAACTTTTTCACTCTGTATGAAAATCAAAAAAGTTTGATCCATTTTTTAAAATTTAATTTTAGGTATATTCAATAACATAAATTTTACTTAATATTATATGAACTATAGTTTAAATTGCAGGAAAAAAACAAACAAAAAACTTACACAATCAAAATTGAAGGAATAATGTACAAACTCCCAGGTACAAAAAAAAAATATCCATTTTGATTAATTTTATTGTAGAGGTAACTGAAAAGCTGAGTAAACAATAAGTTCAATACTTGATCTAAGCAAACCATTATTGAAAAAATTGAACCTAAAAAATTTAATGATTGAACAAAAAAGGTCAAGATTAAAATGTTTAAATGACTAAAAAATGATTAAGAAGTTAAAATTTTATAAATAATAATAAAAATAATAACTTGTAACAACTGTTTAAACTAAGCAAAAACAAAATAATTTTTAAGAATAAAATATTATATTTTAAAAATTAATCTTATAAGCTCTTTACTCTTAATTCTTTGTTTTGAACAATTCAAAAAAAATCTTTGATTTTTTTTGTTAACTAGGCGGATATACAGTTTTTATTTGAATATCAAATATTGATATTCGAATAATAAAAACCAGCTTTCAAATTTTATTTTACAAATTAGTCATAAAATTTTTAAAAAATATAATAAAATACAAAAGATAAATCAAAAAAGAAATAAAATTTAAAATTAAAGAAAATATTAATTTAATGATTCTTTTACTAACGCAAGATGCTGACAGTAGCATTTGATTTTTTAAAATTTTTACCTTATGTCACTGATAGCGGTCACAATTTATCTTTTTTTGTACATAAATTTTTATTATAGACACATAATTTGTTTGTTTTTAAAGTTTGATTAATTCTCTACATAATCAATAACAAATAAGAGCCATATTGCGTAATTATAAAAAATTGCCAATTTACAAAGTTAAAATTTTTTAAATAATCCTTGCAAAAAAAAAAAAAACTTTAAATTTAGTTCAAAAATAAAGCAGCATTTCCACTGTAAAGTTAAACTTGTAGAAATGTATAAGTATTTAACTAAGTAATTTAAAAAAGTCTTTTGAAGAAACAACATTCTTATTATACATTAAATAAGTTTTGATTTGGACTTAATGTTTTAGTTATTATTTATAAAAACAATGGTTTTAAGCACTTTGCATTTCTTATTGTTAAATGATGCATGTTAAAAACTTATTTAATTAAAAAAAATCATTTGCTTAGCTTTCTACTGATATATAGTTTGTTATGCTTTTAAAGAGATTTACTATTGAAATCTCAATTATTTCTCAATGTTATATCATTTAAATTTTATCCAAAAAAATGCGTGGTTACATCAAACAGATTTTTGATAAAACAGATGATGGCTGTTATTATTATTTTTTAAAAAAGAAAAAAAAAAAAGAAGAATAATGAGAGAAAAGATTGCTGGCCAATGCTTGGTCAATGTAGCATTACTCCTTTGTGACAGCGAGCTATAAGATAGTCAATGTATATGCTGATGTCCATGTTTTTCCTGTTTTTATATGATTGTCAGCATATAAAGACAATCTATGTATATATATATATATATATATATATATATATATATATATATATATATATATATATATATATATATATATATATATATATATATAAACATATATATACAGGGTGTTAGCCAGGAATAAACTTTAAACAGTGTTTTGACGAAATTGGGAATTAGTAAAAACCCTCTCAACCCCCCTCCCCCTCTCAGCTAAGATTAAAATGTATTGCGGGAATGCGTGGTTTTTTTTTTCTTAAATTCTTTTATATTTTTTCTCCACTTCAGCGCTACATACATTTATTTAACAATGCCAAAAATAAAATAAAATACCGTCTTGTAACATTAAAGATGAAAATGAAATGGCACAGCAAATTAAGGTCTGATTTCCAAACAAATATTAGGAACTTTATATTTTCCTATTATAGAGTAATGAGTGTTTATTAAATAATAATTATTAAGAATAATATAATTAATTTATTTTTAATCTTAATATATCTTTGCCGCTTTTATTTCAAGAAATAAAAGCGAAAGAAAGCCAATGATCTTCTACTTCTAATTATTATTTGAATTCTTTTTGACGTTCATTTTGGACGAACCCTTATATCATCATGTAATAAACTGTGTCAAAAATAAATATTTTTAAAAAGATAAGGTTTTAAAAATAGTAAAAACTAGCTCATAAATTTAATATTTACGAGTATATTTAATACTTAATAAATAAAAATAATTTTCTTTATTCATAAATCGCATAAAGAAATAAAGTTATAATTACAGTCTCAGCAAAAACAACAACAAATGTCGTTTTATTATAGAAGTATATTGATCGCAAGCAATTACGTGGCAATGAAGAATACTAATAATTATTTTTTCATTCTTAGTTATGAAATGTTATGACTCTGTTTATTTAAAATGTAACATTTCAAATTCAAGCAAGCGGTGAATCTTGTTTTCTGCTATTTAAATTTCTAGTACCAGCTTGTTGTAATAAAAAAAAACTTTCTTGTTATTAAATGTATATAATTTACATTTTAATATATGTATATGCGTGTTAAATACAAGCAAGCTGTTAAGGTGAGTTTCCATTCATCCGTTTTTCTACGGGAAAAGGAAAGGGAACGGAAAAATAATTGCGTGAGTATGCCCAGTTTTCTTTCGGACAAATAAAAACTTTTACTACGCATGCTCACGTGATTATTTTTTCCTTTCCTATCCCGTTCCCATTGAAAAACGGATGAGTGGAAACAAAGAAATCTATTTTGCTTGTTCAATAAATTTGTAGTTCACTTTTTTTTAATCATTAAACATTTTTTGTAGGTAACTTACATTTCAGAGATGGTTTTTTAAAAAAGTTATTGAATTAGTTAGTGAATTAATTAGTAGATAAGTGTAGAAAGAGTTTAATCGATGTGATCTAATAATTTAGTTGATATAAAATACCAAACAAAAATATGGAAAACTATAAGACTTAGGAATTGTCCATTAATTAAATAATGAAAACTTTCACAATAAACAAAACAAAAAATGTTTTCCCTCGGAGGGTCTTAATTTAAATATAAAATCATAATAGCCGATTCAGTTTAATCAAAATCGCAGCGTAAAAGAGGTTAAAATCTGTGACTTATGTTTTTTAAAATTAAATGTTTTTAAAATTTTTTCTATTAGTTTTTAATAATATTTAATTTTCAATAATTTTCAGAACTATTTTTAAACTTTAATTTGGCGAAATTTATTTCGAATATGGGATTTTTTCACTTTTAAATTGGGAATTTTAATTTTATGAGCATTTGGGAATACTGCGTTTGATGGGACGCCACAGGGCTAGTTTACACCCTGATATATATATAAACTTATATATATATATATACATATTTATATATATATATACATATATATATATATATATATATATATATATATATATATATATATATATATATATATATATATATATATATATATATATATATATATATATACATTTTTTATTGTATATATACATACATATTTTTACTGACAAATCTTGTCGGAGCCAGATTTCGAAACAAAATTACAGGAACCAAAATCATGTAGATCCCTACTTGATATTGTTAGTGGTCAACAATGTTGACCATTATTAATACCAAGTGACAACTGTTTTCTGCTAAACCTCATCGCTCTTATTAAAATAGGACACAATTTTACATAACATATTATAACATAACAAAATAATTGATAAACAATTAAAACTTTCAATTTGAAAGTGAAGTCAAGTAACTTCAGTTTCAGCTAATTTTTTAAAATTTCTTTAATCAGTTTCGAATTGTACTTCAGAAATATTGGCATATATTAGCATTATGTGGCAGGAGTGAACTACAATGATCATTGAGAACCTCCCAAGCAACACTGAACAAACTTTCTGATGGTAAACTTGTAGGTGGGGCATCCAAATAAATGCAAGCTGCTGTCGCCGTTGCATGTTATTACTCCACCAATGTAGTGGATCAGCGTGTCTATTTCTGGTTTGTCAGATACTGGCTTAACTGAGTGTTAATACCTGTTGGCAATTGTTGTTTATGTGCTGTGCCACTAGCAGACATAGACTGAACAATTTTATCTGAACAATTTTATCATTTTATCATTGTCAGAGTAGAATAACAATGTAGAAGAAGCAGTAGTTCCAGCAGGGCTTTTTTTGCTGGAATTTCTTCAATTTTGTCAATCTGCTGCTCAGCATGCTCAGATTGACTTCCATCTTGATTTGATACCCTCTGCACTGTAACTTTATTAAATGTATATTTAACCACATTTGTGTCTTCACTTCAGACTCTTTTGCGTATCTTCACTTCAGATTATTGTGTGTGTTCTCTTCAGAATTTTTCGTTGAGTTGTTGTTTGCAAATAGACTTAGCTAATTAAATTGTAAAGAAATGTTAATTCAGATACCATTACAAACATGAAGTTCATAGAAAATATAGAATTACTAAGAACATTGATTTGTATAAATAAAATGCTAAGTATACATGTAAACACAGGCAAAAAAGATATAATAAAAAATATGACTAAAAATCAGAAATCCAGCTAAAATTTTGCTGGATTTACTAGCTTTAGGCAGGAGCCGGATTTGTAAGATTAGTCGGAATTTGGCCAGAGCCGAAGCCAAAATCCGGTACAGCCCTAATATATATATATATATATATATATATATATATATATATATATATATATATATATATATATATATATATATATATACATATATATATATATGTGACACTAGCTCTTTAGAGCAGCACAAGTGACACTAGCTCTTTAGAGCAGTGCCCGTTATAGTATTTGTAGAAAAGAGAAAGAAAAGCAACATTACAACAATGTGACAATGGTTAAAGGTTGGCTGCAAATACAGATCCATATTGAAAAACATATATTAAAACATATTGTAAACTATGTTTACAATATGTTTTTGCAAATTGTCTAAAAGAGAAAGGGAATTATTTAAAGATCCACTACAGATACAACAACAGTATTCTATACAAGGAGAGATAAAAGATTTATAGAGATAAAAAATAGAATCTAGAGTAAGAAATTCATGAGATAAAAAGATGCAATCTTAGCAAATGCTAATTTTGCAATGGATTTAATATATGGTTTCCAAGAAAAATTGGAGGTAAGAATTAATCCTAGAAGATGACGGGTAGATGACTCGTTGAGTACATTACCGTTCATAAATACAGGAAGATATAAGTTGTTGCAATAATGATTAGCTAAAAATAATTGAGTTTTATCTGAGTTAAAGTTTACCAGCCACACAAAGCCCCATAATGTAGCAAGAGGTAAGAGCCTTTTCAAGCTCAAATGCTCTCCAAATCAGCAGTAGAACTTGGAAATCTATATTGATGATCTCTCCAGAATTTTTGAAAATAGGGATAACATATGCCGCTTTTCAGCAGACTGGAAAACAAGACTCTGATAAGCACTTGTTAAATAGTTTTAAATATATAATATATATATATATATATATATATATATATATATATATATATATATATATATATATATATATATACATATATACATATATACATATATATATATATATATATATATATATATATATATATATATATATATATATATATAAAATATATATATATATATATATATATATATATATATATATATATATATACATATATACATATATACATATATATATATATATATATATATATATATATATATATATATATATATATATATATATATGCACTTGTTTAATAGTTTAGTATATAGTAATACTAGCACTTGTTAAATAGTTTTAAATATATATATATATATATATATATATTTTTTTTTTTTTTTTTTTTTTTTTATTTTAATTCACCTCCTCAAGGCCGAGAAAGCCACTACAGACAAGGAGGCTACTTATTTGTGGCTATATACATATATACATATATATATATATATATATATATATATATATATATATATATATATATATATATATATATATATATATATAAATATATATATATATATATATATATATATATATATATATATATATATATATATATATATATATATATATACATATATACATATATACATATATATATATATATATATATATATATATATATATATATAATATATATATATATATATATATATATATATATATATATGCACTTGTTTAATAGTTTAGTATATAGTAATACTAGCACTTGTTAAATAGTTTTAAATATATATATATATAATATATATATATTTTTTTTTTTTTTTTTTTTTTTTTTATTTTAATTCACCTCCTCAAGGCCGAGAAAGCCACTACAGACAAGGAGGCTACTTATTTGTGGCTATAACCCTCTCTCAACTCTATAACTCCGAAACACGAACCTTGACGAACAAGGCCGCTGCGCGGAGAAACGAGTTGAGCGCGGTACTACTAGGGACGTGGTGGGGATCGAACTCGGAACCACTCGTTTATGAAGCGAGCGCTCTACCACTACACCACTACCGCATATATATATATATATATATATATATATATATATATATATATATATATATATATATATATACATATATACATATATATATATATATATATATATATATATATATATATACATATATATATATATATATATATATATATATATATATATATATATATATATATATATATATATATATATATACATATATACATATATATATATATATATATATATATATATATATATATATATATATATATATATATATATATATAATATATATATATTAGAGTGCCTCTAAAATCAACTTTTTTTGAAATAGTCTGCTGCCACCTCCTAAATGTGTTCTATGTAACAAATTAACACTACATAAAAAAATTTTTTTGAATAAAAAAAATTTCAAAAATAATAAAAACAATATATAAATAAATATATATATATATATATATATATATATATATATATATATATATATATATATATATATATATATATATATATATAATATATATATAAATATATATATATATATATAAATATATATATATATATATATATATACATATATATTTATATATATATATATATATATATATATATATATATATATATATATATATATATATATATATATATATATATATATCAAGCCTCAGAATTAGGAAAATTGAGATCGGCAATAATTTGCCGACCTAGATTGAGGTCAGCAAAGATTGAGGTGGGCAAATTATTGCCGATCTCAATTTTCCTAATTCTGAGGCTTGATATATATATATATATATATATATATATATATATATATATATATATATATATATATATATATATATATATATATATATATAATATGTATATGTATATGTATATGTATATGTATATATATATATATATATATATATATATATATATATATATATATATATATATATATATGTATATATATATATATATATATATATATATATATATATATATATATATATATATATATATATATATATATCAAGCCTCAGAATTAGGAACATTGAGATCGGCAATAATTTGCCGACCTCAATCTTTTAGAGGTCGGCTTCAGGTCGGCAAATACAAAGATCTTACCATAAAACATCGAAACAAGGTCAGCAAAACCGAATTTTTTTTTACCGACCGCAAATACGTTTAGATCGGCAGTTAGGTCGGCATCGCCGAATGCCAACCCTAATTCCAAGGGTTGATATATATATATATATATATATATATATATATAACATAAAAGACGAATAAAATTTACCTCTATCTGTAGTGATGACCAAACTTGAAACTATAGATCGCAATATTGGTACATGAAGCAAAGAAAATGACTTTAAAACTAATCCTAAAAACAATACCATTTATTATATGATCACAAATGTATAAAGTTAGAATAAATAATAACAATTTTTCAAAAATTATCAATAACGTTAAAAAAAATCATTAAGTATACAGAAAAATTTCTTTTTCATTATGTACACCAAATTATTTTTATATATACATCTTTTCAAATAATATATACCGAATATAAAAAAATATGAAAATCTGAAATTACCTGAGTATAATAACTTTATATCATGAGAGAATGCAAGCAAAAAATAATATGCAGATCCAAAACCATATGAGATCAATATAACCATTGGTGCTGGCAGAAATTTTAGACCAAGTTTAACACCAAGTGCACTACCAACTGATAAAGTAACGAGTAATGTACCAATATAATACCCGTTGCTTATTGCATTAAAACAAAGAGGGGTGTTTAATAAATATAATGTTAAAAATGTGAGTAATTGAATTGCAAGAACATTACTAAAAGAAAGTGATAAAATGGCCGAGACTAATGCTTGTCTCTGAAAGTACTGTCGTTTCCAACATGCCAATAATGTTGCTGGCATACCAACAACAGTTTTAAATTTTATTTTCTTTTTTTCATCATCAAGTATACTAAAATCCAATGATTCTTTTAATACAAACAATGCCCATAGAAAAGATAGACTTATTAAGCAAGTGATAAAAATTTCTGGGATAACAAAAGAGTATTTTTCTATGAATATCCCACTCGTATAAAAAGAGGTTGCTAGAGAAACTAATACAGCTGATTCAAAGATTGCTAAAAATAATAACAGGTTGGTAAAGTTAAAAATTAAACTTTTAAATTACATATCATTTAAGTATAAAACAAAAAAATAAAATAATATATAAATTATGATATACTAGATATTAAACTAAGTTTTATCAAATTTATGTTGGAAGTTATATTTAAAACTATTTTTATCAAATAACATAAAATAAATATATAACTATTGTTCTTATATATTATTACTTTTCTTAAATAACATAGTACATACATTTAAAATATTTCTTTATGTAGTATTATTTAAAAAAAATATTTATTTTTATAAAATGATTTATCATGAAATATTTTCATTTCGATTATTCTAAATAACATGTTCTCAACAGATGGAATTTTTTAAAATCCTTTTTATAAAAATAGATATTTTTTCCTGAGTGCTATGAGAGAAAAATACTATTCCCTGACTCTAAATAACTTATAATTAAAAATAACAGTCAGGGTATTTGAACTTCCACATTTGATCAAAATATGGTATAAATTGTCTGATGTAAATAAAGAAAAGAAAATCTATAAAACATAGCAACTACTTATGTAATTGCTATGTTGTCCCACAACATAGCAACTAGATAAGTATATAACTATGAGTAGCTATGTAGCAGGGTACCTGCCCACTACATAGCTTACAAATGCTACAACATAAACTGTTATATACCTACTACATAACCTATTATATAGCTACTACATTGCCCACTCATTAAATAGATACTAACAAAGCATGTAGCCTGCTACATACCTATATATAAATATAATAATATAATATGTGTTAAACAAATTTAAATAAAATATATTTAGCTAATTTTAGTGATGTAAAAGTAAAAGTTGCAAAACCAAAAAAAATCAATTTAAATAAAAATTAATAATTTTAAGTGAATTAAATTACTTGATTTTCGCGATATCAAAAAAAAATTTGTACACATTAATTTGACATCAAAAGACATCAAATAAATTGCAATTTTTTTTTAGTATTTAAAAAAGTTTTTTTTCTCACTAAAACGACCATAAATCTTTATGAAATTGATTTATTTTAATTATTCTTTTGTTAAGATCATTTTCACACTAATTATAAACAAAGTTCATTTTTTACTTTGTTTATGTAGCATCAAGCCTTCCCAGGAAAGGCGTGCGGTTTTTTCTTGTATGACCACACGCGAGTATTTTATTTTAGACAACTTGAACACGGCCGTTTGCAAGTTTTGTAATATTCAATGCTGAACAAGTTTCAAAAACAAAAAAAACAAAACTGACAAAATAGAAAGAGATTGATATAGAAAAAAATAAAAACATTATTAGTTTAAATTATTTGTGTATTGTTTTTATTTTTGTTTTTTTAGAGTGGTTGTTACATTCAGCAAAATTAAATGAGGCGAAGCAAAAAAAAAAAAAAACAGTATGAAGTCTTAACTTTTTTTTCAAGAGGATAGTAAAAATATAAATTGCAATGTGTTTGTAAAATATATTTGTATAATTTTAATGTAACAACAAGAATTGAATTAAGCAAACGCAAAACACAAAATCTGGAAAAATATCTATTATTCAAAATTTTAGTTTATACAAAACCGTGTTCCTTGTTTTTAAGGGGCAAATCAACTTAAATTTGTAAGCGAAAAAATAAAACAATAAACTTACGACTACAAAAGTAATAACACTCTAGTCACTAACTGCATTACAAAAGTAATAACACTATAATAGTATTATTACTTTTATAATGCACTTATAACTTCTAAAACTCATTCTTTGTTCAAGCGACATAAGTAATCCCAAATTTTAATTGAAGTAGAAAAATATCTAGAAGAATAAAGTTGATGTTCAAATAATATTTAAAACTTAAATAACTTATAAAAATGTGACAAACAACTTTATAAAAATGTAACGTATTAAAATTTTAGCATTATGAAAAACGTTACTAGCGGACCAAAAAACACGCGTTAATTTTAAAATTAACCAATAAAATTTTTTTATTGGTTGATTTTAAAATTAATGCGCATTTTTACATAACATTTTTCATGTTACACTTTTTATAAAGTACTTTTGTATAATGTTGTTTAAGTGATCTGTAAAAGTTCCTGAAATTTTTAATAATATTTGAATATCTGCTTTATTTTTTCTAGATGCTTATCTACTTTAATAAATATTTGGAATTAATAAAGTTGTTTGGAATTGTTTTTTATTACTTTTATAATGCAGTTAGTGACTAAAGTGTTATTACTTTTGTAGTCATAAGTTTATTGTTTTTGTTTTGTTTTTTGTAACTTTCTTGCTAGCCAACTTTGAATAATTTGCTCCTTGTAAACAAAGTACACAGCTTTGTATGAACTAAAATTTTAAAGACCAAATATTTTACCAGAGTTTGCAAATCGCGATCGTATAAGTTACCCCTTGATATATACTTGTTACACTATAATTATGCAAATATATTTTACAAACAGATGACGATACATATTTTCTCTTTACTCTATAAAAGAAAAAACACATAAAATGTAGGAAAGTCATCCTTTTTAACGCTTAAAACTGTTTTTTTTTTTTTTGCTTTGACTTACTAAATTTTGTTGCCGATAATATAACCACTAAGAAAAAAAAACAACAAAAAAACAACACACAAATTATTTAAATTGTTATTATTGTTTTCTATTTAAGTTTACTTTAATTTCTCATGTAGTTATCAAATTAAAAACTTTTTTCAGCAACACATATAATAAAATTTGCGTAAACGGCCATGATCAAGTTGTCTAAATTAAAAAAATCATCCAAATCACAAAAAAAATCTTATACCAAATGAAATGCCATTGGATTTTATTGATAATATACTTCTAAAAAAAGTAACAGTTACAAACTTTCTTGGTATTTATATTGATGAAAATTTGTCATGGAAAAGTCACATAAAAAATTTGAGTAGTAAAATATCAAAAAGCATAGGAATTTTGTACAAAGCAAGGTGTTTTTTAAATAAACATACATTACTTAAACTATATTATTCGCTTATTCATTGTCACATTAACTATGCAAACATTGCATGGGGTAGTACTAATAAAAGTAAACTGGAGCCTCTTTATCGTCAACAGAAACATGTTGCACGCCTTATTAATTTTAAGGATCGATTTACTCATGCCAAGCCTCTATTAATTGAAATGAAAGTCTTAAATATATATGAGCTTAATATTTTTAACGTTATATGTTTTATGTTTAAATGTAAAAACAATATTTCTCCTGTACCTTTTCATAATTTGTATAACAAAAAAGAAAAAACTAAGTACATTTTACGAAATGATAATAATATTCGTCAATCAGCTTATCAAACTAATTCTGGAAAATACTGTATTTCATTTCAAGGAGCATTACTTTGGAATAAAATAGTTTTAAAGAATTTTGACTTTTCTCAAGAAGTTAGCTATCACTCTTTCAAACAAAAACTTAAAAAAGTCATTTTTTTATTAGATGATATATCTATATTCTTTTAATTTTTTGTTTCTTTTTTAACTTTATATTTAACACTGCATTAAAAATTTTTATAATTTAACAATTTGTAAATAGTTGTTTAACACTTTTGTTAAAGGTATCTTAAAACTGTATAACAAAACCTTTAACAAAAAGTTTAACAATTGTGCTTAAGATATCTTTAAACTGTATAACGCATCTATGTATTTATAACGGAACCATTTTTCTTTTTCTTTTTTTCTTTAAATTTGTTTATGTTTTCAATTCTTAATTCTTAATTATTTGTTATCTTCAAGTACGTTAAGTATATATTCCTATTGAAAGTTTATTTATTTTGAGAATATTTTATTAATACGAAATATTAACACGAAATTTTTTTAGCAGTTCTCGACGACAAGACCTTACGGTCTTCTACGAGTTCCCGCGTTCTTTTATTTCTTAATAATGATCATATATATATATATACATTGTTAACGAATATTTATTAAATCACAAAGTTGTAAAATTAAAGAAAAAAAAATAAATATATATATATATATATATATATATATATATATATATATATATATATATATATATATATATATATATATATATATATATATGTATATATATATATATATCCTGCGAATTTCAGGTCGGCATGAAAAAGCTGACCTATCTTTGCTTTACCACAGCATACAACTGCTATCCTGAATATCTTAATGTGTCAGCATGCAAAAAAAAGTATATGTAAAAATATGTAATATTTGTTCATTATAAGTTCATAATTTATTTAATTATTATACTGTTCTAAATTAATTTAAAACAGCACTCTAGGTATGATTAAATTAAAGAGTTCCAATTGAACCCTCTCTTAAATCAAAATATTATATAGAAAGATATAACATAAAGAAATTAGAATAGAACAATTCAAAATAAAAACATTTTTTAAACTTTTGTTTAAAGTAAATCAAATTTATTTAAGATTTTTTATTTTATTACGAGACATTAAGACAAGAGCTTATAGTGAGATTCATAAAAACTTACCAAGACGTAATGATAATTTATCCTTTTGAGTCACATCTGCCAAATATGCAGTTGCTGACATAACTAGTCCTGGATAGGATCCTCCAAACCCATCTAAAAAAGCACCTATATAAATAAATTTAATATTGAGTTTCAACCACACTGTTATTGTTGAAATTATTAAATAGATAGTTGACATAGCTGTAGTCACCACCATTATTGGTTTTCTACCAACAATATCAGATAGAGATCCATAGAAAAGCAATGTTACAATGCATGGTATGTTTTGACATAACGCTAAACCAGCATAAAAACTCGAAACTTTGTTTTGAACCTGAAATACATATTAATATATAAAATTCAAAAAATAATTTTTAAAACAGAAAAGAAAGTCAAAAAATTTTAAAAGGCTTATTAATAAAATTTAAATTGTTTTATTTAAGATTTCAAACAAGAAAACTACATAGAATGTTTCACTTTTGTAAAAAAGTTATAAAAAAAACATTTTGAATGTACCAAATAAATTAACTAAAACTTATTCAGAGCAATAAATAAAACTTATAGAAAAAAGTGAGTTGAATTATTGAGTGCAATAATATAAATTAAAAAAAATTATAAACATAGACTTTATAGCTTCACATTTGTAGAGTTATTAGAATCTCTTGCCTGAGCTGAGAACTCACAGGTTAAAAGAAGATAAACTTTTATTTAAAAGACTTACAATCTTTTCCAAAGCCATTTCTGATATGTTGTTTTTGCCGCTAGTACAAGAGTTTGATTGGGTATCATAATGATAATCAAGACCATACTCGATGCTATACCAACTATAAATATACTGCTGAATAACAGGCATTTGAAGAAGAATTCCAGTATAGTAAAAAATGAACATGGGTTCAATAATATACCTCCATTGTTTCATTATTGTTCAGCTATGAAATTTTTATTCATAAAATATATATGAATGTATATTTAAAAGGTGTTGATTTTTATTTTACTTTATGTGCATGTGTTTTTATAAAAATATCTGTTCTTGCATGAAATGTCATTAATGACATACTGAAATATTCATCTGCTTGAGCTTTAACACATAAATTCATTGAAGATTTGGATGCAATCCATAAATATAGAACATTTATTTTAAAAAAAAGTTTCTTTTCATTATTATTATTTTTTTCGTTTTCTGAAAAAATTTTTAAATTAAGCCACTCTGAAAGAATATTATTCATAAAATATAGCATAGGTTCAATGTATGAACATTGAACCTATGCTAAATCACGTAAACTCATCTCTAAGCTTTCTATATGTAGACCACTTCATTAAAATGTTTCCTTTTTCTCATCATAGTAATCAGTTATAATGATAAAAAATCTTGTCAAATAGACAAATAGATTTATGTACAAAATAGTGCTGTTTAAATTTGAATCATTTAAAATAAAGGTTATACATCTTTTAAATAAAGCTGAATTTTTCTATCTAACAATAGATGGGTGAACATCACAAGCCTGGCTACTATACATTTTGTTGATTAAATTTTTTGTTTGAAATTAATTTGCTTTGCATCAAAGTATAATCCAAAAGCTCATAAAAGAATGAAAAATAGATGAGAAAACTCAACAAGTAGTGACACTACTTGTTGAAAAGCAGCTACATATATAAATCCTTGATTTCGGACTTATATAACTTATACTAAACAAAACATAAAAAATGCTTGTATTAAAAAAGCATTCTTTAGTTGTTCAATTTAACCATAAATTGTAGCTCACACTAACTCTCAAAAAAGTCATCATCATCATCATCATCATCATCATCATCATCATCATCATCATCATCATCATCATCATCATCATATATATATATATATATATATATATATATATATATATATATATATATATATATATATATATAAAATTTACAACGTAACAACTAATTAAGTTACAATTATAATTCTGTTTTACATAAGTAATATAATATTAATAAACACTGCTGTAATCATTGGTCACATTTCTATTTATGATGTTAAAGACTTATATTCATACATTGTAATATTAGTAAAGTGCATTATATATGTGTTTATAAATACACACAAGGAATTTTTAGATAACTTAAAACAATTTTTTTTTATAAAGACAATATTAGGCTAATATTGTATATATGTAATATAACCCTTGGAATTTATATTAGCTTTGGAAGATATACAAAAGGAGAGTTAGTTTATGCTGTTTCTATGAAATACATTGTGACGAATCATTTGCAAGAAAAATATTATTTGATTTTTTAGGATGGAAGTTAGATAAAAAATTTATTACAATTTTAACTGGAACTATACCTGATTTGGAGAAAATTAACTTGATTGAGTGAGTGAAAAAGGCAAAAAATTTCTTGCAGAACTTTGATAATTTGTTTTCAATAATACTTTTTTGTCTTTTATAAATAATATAAATAATAAAACATAGGTAAGCTATTCGGTACATAACTTTTATCATTAATAAATTAGTTACCTTATCATCACTTACAAGACCAACAAAGCAGGAATCAGAGTTGGACAAATTAAGCAAGTTACTACTAGCACATTTTGATTGTATGATTTCATTGAGTAGGTTTTCACAAATAGAAACAAAATATTTTTTAAATATATTTAAAACAGCAGCAGGGTATATGATAATACTTTCATTCAAATATAGATGAGTATGTGTATATTGCTGAGTATGTGTATTATGTGTTGATATTTAGAAATTTATGATCTTTTAAATATTTTTTTATGTTGTTCATGTTGTTATTAGAATAAGTTATGTAGCATGATTTTTTACTACTTTTTAAAAAGTTTCTTTTTTTATTTTGTAAAGAGTTTAATTTTAATACTAGTATATTTGCATCTTGTGAATTTTTTAGAGAGTTTATTTTTCACAGAAATAGATTTAAACAAGCCTTTTTAGAGATTTTAGTTTGATTTTATTTTTAATTTAAGTCTTAAAGGGGGCATTTAATCTAAGATTTTATTTAATGTTTTTTTAAATTGATTAACAAATTTATTAACAATGTTATCTTTTTAAATCAAGAGTTGCCGGAAATTTAGAATAAATTTGTTAGGATCAAAATTTTTAAAGCATCCGGATGCATCCCGTGGAAATTTTAATTATTTTGGCTAAACACACACACAATATATATTTCTGCATATTTGGTTCAACACAGACAACTTATATTTCCGCATATTTGGTTGAAAACAGACAATTAGTGTTTTCAACCAAATATGCGGAAATTTTGATTCATTGATAGATGACAATATATACAGCAAATTAAACAATTCTTTTGTGGGGATTAATGATTTCAACAAAAACAGACTCTAGTCATTTTTTTTGCATTTACCTTTAAGTTACAATGAAGTATCTAATTTAAATTGGACTGCAGATATAAAAGATCACTACCTTTTTTGGACTCAGTGGGATAATTATCAATGTTGAATCCATAAATAGCTATGCCTGTTAAACCCTGATGGTATCATTAGGACAAATCAAATCAAATCAAATCAATATATTTCCACTCAAATATAACTGTAAATATATACATTCGTGCGGGACATTTACAAACAGTTACAAACTGATGACGCGTAAAGACCTATGATGGTATACTTTGTAGCTTAATAATATTAATATAAGAATAATGTGATGATATAACAATAACCACCTATGACGGTGTAATTTATATAATAATAATAATATTGATAATAACAATATTAATAATAATAATAACAGTAAATATACAATACTAATAATAATGTCAATAATAATACAACAATATGAAGCAGTATAGCTGTATATATTTTTTCTGCTATTTGCAAAATAAAACATGAGAAGGAAATAGTAATTATCATTAATAATAACGAAAATATATATTTAAAAAAAAAATGATAATAACAATAATAATAATTTAATAGACAAAATTAAGAAAAGAAAAAGGAGGGAATTTAATGACTTGGCATTATGTAATGCACATACATACACACATATATACAGACATAAAAATAAACCTACCATACAAATTTATACATACACATACATACACACATACATATGTACATACATATACATGCATACATACATACATACATACATTCGTACATACATACATACATATATACATACTTACATACATACACACATATACACACATAAACACACACTCACATACATACATACATACATACCTACATACATATACACATACATACATACATTTATACATACACATACACACATGCATACATACATATGCATGCATAAATATATTCATATATAAACACATGCATACACACAGCTACATACACATACATATATATATTACATATACATATATATACTTATGTTTTATTTTTTAGAGTTTTTTATTTTATTATATTAGTTTTATATTTTTATTTTTATTTTATGTGTTTTATATTTTTATTATTACTTTTGAGTTTTATATTTTTATTTCTATTTTTTGAGTTTTATATTTTTATTTCTATTTTCTGAGTTTTGTATTTTTATTTTTACTTTCTGAGTTTTATTTTTATTTATAAAGAAAAAGAAATAATTAATTACAGTGAACTAAAAGGGAGCAATAGAAAATAGCTCATTGATTATTTAAAATTAATCTTTTTTATATGGGTTATAAAGGCATTTCTATTTGTTATATTAGAGAATATTTTTTTAGTTTCAACAGGAAGAGAATTCCAACTGTGGATTGATTAATATTTGATTGACCTAATGCCATATTTATGTGTTTGCTTTAAAGGCATAGAGAGACTACAATAAGATACAGATCTAAGTTTATGGTTATGGATATCACCTGTGAACTTAAAAAAGCTATTGAAACAGCTGGGCATGTTATTGTGTATAGTGTCCCATACAAGTACACAGTTTGATAAATAGATTAACTCTTCCAGCTTCAAAATTTTAGAAAGATTGTATAGTATGTCAGAACTAAAACTGTTAGGTTGAAAGTGAATTATTTTCAATGATTTATTTTGAAGATTTATAAGATTTTTTATATAAATGGATGAGCTTTGACCCCATATCTGGCAGCCATAGCGAAGATGGGAATTAAAAATTGCATGCCAAATATTTAAGAGAGTTTCATAATTCACAAAATGCCTTATTTTGGTAAGCATTCCATTTGCTCGGCTCAGTTTGCATGATATGAATTTGATTTGTTGCATGAACAAAAGATTCTCATCCAATAATATGCTTAAATATTTTATTTTATCAACAATGTTTAGCTTTTGTCCACTAATTCTAAAATTAAGTTTTTTAGTAATTTTTTTGCCTACAGGTTTAAATAGAACTAATTCAGTTTTTTTGGCGTTTAAAGATAATTTGTTTGATCGCAACCATTGAACCAGTGATGCCAGGTCATAATTTAGGTGTTTATTAAGTTTTTTTAAGGATTTCTCTACTATTAGGAGGTTGGTGTCATCAGCAAAATGATACATTTTTGAGTATTTAACACACATGTTTAAATCATTTATATAGATGAGAAAAAGGAGGGGACCCAGAGTTGAACCCTGAGGAATACCTATAGACATGAACTTAATAGAGGAAGAGATATTACTAATAGTAACAGTTTGTGTACGATGGTTTAGATATGACTTAAACCAGTTCAGAGCGATACCCCTCACACCATAATGATAGAGCTTTGATAATAGAATTTCATGGTCAACAGTATCAAATGCTTTTTGCAGATCAACGAACACTCCACCAGCGAACTGTTTTTGGTCCAAAGTATCACGTATGGTTTCCGTTATATCTATGAGTGCTTGGTTTGTTGAGTGATTCTTTCGGAATCCGAATTGGAGACTATATAAGCTATTTGATAGATTTAGAAAACTGATTAACCTATTATACATAAGTTTTTCAATTAATTTGCCTATATTTGAAAGCAAGGATATAGGCCGAAAGTTACAAAGATCTAGTTTACAGCCGCCTTTAAAAATTGGGACAACTTCAATTAAAAATTATTCAATTTTAAATAAGTCAGGAAATATTCCAGATTGAAAAGATTGATTAATTATAATGCTCAAGGGGAAGGTTAACTCTTGAGATGCTAAGATCATAATTTTGGAAAGAATGCTATTGGGTCCAGTGCTTTTTTTTGGATTTATGAGAGAGATATAGTCATTTATTTCTTGAGAAGTAACTGGGGATATAAAAAGAGAATTAGGATTTTTGTTTTTTAGGTAGTGGTTGAAGTCAAATCTAGGGGGTATAATTTTTTTAGCAAGATTATCTGCTATTGAAGAAAAGTAATCGTTAAATGCATTAGAAATTATTTTTTTATTAATTATAGTTTTATTATTGATATTTAAACTATCTATATTATTGCTGTTCTTTGATTTAATAGAAATAATACTCTTTATTACTTTCCAGGTGTTTTTAAGGTTATTTAAATTTTGATTGAAGTAGGTTGAGTAATATGTTTTTTTTGAGTATCGCAGTAGATTACTAATTTGATTTCTATAATATTTAAATTTTTGAAAGTATTTTAATTTACATTTTATATATTTTTTGTGCAGTTTATTTTTAATTTTTATGGATGTAATGATTCCATTTGTAATCCATGGCTTTGATAAAGATTTAGTAGCTTTTTTGTTGAACATTTTAAAAGGGGCATGCTTATCAAGTAACCTTTTAACTATATCCAAAAACTTAGAAGTAGAGTTATTAACATCATAGTTCTCATATTGGTTTATTAAAAGCCAATCTGTTTTCTTAAGGTCTTTAAGAAATTTCTTATCATCAAAATTTTTAAAACATCGTCGGTATATTTTAGGAGAAGACTGTTTTAAGTTCTTGCATGGCAAGGATATGAACTGAATAAGATGGTCAGCAAGGGATACTGTTAGGTTGCCTGATTTAGTGTTTGGAGTTTGGAAGTTTACAAATATATTATCTATGAGTGTCTTTGATTTTGGAGTAATTCTGGTTGGTTGAGTTATTAATGGGAAGAGGGAGAAAGAGCACATCAGATCTAGGAAGTTAGAAACATCATTACAGGAGTCATATTTTAGGAGATTAATGTTAAAGTCTCCTAAAAGAACTATATTTTTATTCTCTAGGGATAGCTTGTCAAGTAGGGTTTGCATATGAGTAATATTGAAATCATTAGTGTTCATACATGGGCGATAAATGCATCCTACAATAATATTTTTTTCTGAAGGCAGTAAAAGTTCAATAAAGGTTGATTCTAGTTCTTTTTTTTCCTGAATTATAAGGTCAGATCTTAAGTTATACTTTAATTCAGATTTTATATATATTAGAGTTCCACCTTTATTAGAATGAGAATCAGTATGTTCAAAGACATAACCATTTAAGTTGATATCAGTTCTAAGAGTTTTGTCGTAATTTAAGCGAGTTTCAGATATAGCAATGATATCGGGTTTGTTATTCATAAGGGAAAGCACAAGTTTTAGGTCCTCAAGATAAAATGTCAAAGATGATATATTTACATGTAAAAAGGTTTTCTAAGCAATTAGAACAGTACCAATAAATAGTTTCGGTCATCAAAGAGTTGTAGGATTTTTTATCAATATTATTACACCTAATGTGGACCCAATTATTGCAAGAGTCACACTGTATAGCTTTTTGATTACTTGTTACAGCTTTATAACAAAGGCCACAAGGAAACTTTACAACCATATTATTGACTTCAGCATTTAGAATGGTTTGGTTTGATTGAAACTAAATTTATATTCATATTTTTATTTTATTATTATTTTTTAGAGTTTTATATTTTTATTTTATTAGTTTATATTTTTATTTCTATTATATGAATTTATATTTTTATTTTTTATGTTTTTATTTTATTTTAATTTTTGGTTTAAATTTTTTGAATTTATATTATATTTTATATACTAGTGAATACTATGAGATACTGTGTAAATTATTTTGATGAAGTAAAGTATGTAACAATATTTTAAATGTATTAAATATTTGTATTATAAAATATAATTACTTATAAGAAGCAGGTAATAATAAACAAGGTGATAGATATGTTTTAATAAGATTATAGATATGGTATTAATACTATATAACATATGCTACTGTATCAAATTTTCCAATATTAAAATAATAGGTCAGATATAAAAGCATAATAAATATAATAAAAATAATTAAATATAGTAAAGTATACTGAAAATATATATGTTATAGGATATGGAATAAAATATATATGGAAAATAATATAATATAGTATAAGAGATGTGGAATATAATATACATAAGATAAGGAAAATACTATATAAATAAGGATGTTATTAGTAATGGTATAACCAGTATAACTATACAATATATATACTGTACACTCATAAATAAATATAAATATATATACATACACATATATATGGTTATAAGGTTTGTGTGTGGTGTTAATAAACAATAAACAGCGGAAATTGATTGTAAGTCTTGGTTTACTCGTTCACTGTTGGACAAAAGTTTGAATAGTCTTGTTGTTTCTAATAAGGAGCAATGCAATGATTCTTCTGCTTGAATGAAAAACAAAATCAGACGTGCTTGCGTGTAAATAAATTTTCTTTCAAGTGTGAACCAAGGTAACAAGCAAAATAAAATTTTGTTGTTGTTGAAATAAATTATGTTGTTGTTGAAATAAAATTGTTGAAAAAAATTTTGTTGTTGTTGACATAAATTGGATTCAGTAATCCCAAATTGTAGGTATGATATTAAATGTGTTGATAAGATTGTACAGGTCATTAATGTGATATGGAAGTGATACAATGTTTAGGATATAGATCTAAATTAGGTTTGATAGTTTTACGATAGTTTTATCAAAGTCTATAATATCATAGTATTTATAATGTATAAAGAAAATAGAGATTGTATTAAATTCTTTAAATATGTCTCTTGAATGAGTTGGAGATTCAAGAAAATTTGAGGATATAGTTGGCGGATTCTTACATGATAATGTTAACAAGAGCTCAACAAAATTTTTATTTTACTTTCTTGCTTCTTCTTGTGATTCATTGAGATTAATTTTTAGTTAGATAATTTGTTGGCGCTACTCGACTTTCTCCCCCCTTCCCTGTTTTTATGATTGATTTTTATATAGTACATTATACTGATTCTAAATCATAAAAAAAAATAGGTCTGAAAACTTGAGGAAAGTACTCTAATTTGATGCTAAAGTATAAAAATCCACATTTAAAACGCGAATATTCCACTATCTTTTTAAAAACATTTTAATTCCGTTTTCAAAATTTTGGTAATTAATTTTTTAATTAGCGACCCGGTTTTTATTGTCATTTTTTAAGATGTACATAAATCGACTGACAAATAGGGATTGGTGTACTTGCATCGACTGACAAATAGGAATTTGCGCAGCCATTCCTATTAACAAACACGATTTAATTATACACACTTAATTATGTATATAAACGTTTCTAGTGAAATGCATATTTATTTATATTCCCAATTCAACATATACTTTATGAACTATTCTTCAGCTCTAATCGTATAAATCCATGTTGATTTTTATTTAGTTACTAAAAACTAAATAGATACAATTAACTAAAACTTATTAACTGTTCCTATAAATCTCTAATGGTCAAGATTCTTTTCATGTTTTTATTTTATATTTTAAAGAAATTTTGAATTATGTATTAGTTTCAAAAAAAAAAAAAAAACTAATTTATAAAAGCCTAGGAACTGTTTAGCAAGTGCAAAAATTAGTAACTTTTTTTTTTCGTTATCATTTAAATACAAAAATTAACAATATTCCATTAATATCAGTCTATTTTAAAGTTTTGGTATTTTAAGAAAGTCTCTTAAGGTTGATAAAAATGCTCTGTGCAGTTGAGGTATCCATAGCAACCAAATAAACAAACCAATAGTGGCATTAGATTCGTTGTATAAAAAATAGTGAATTTAGTCATTATAGGGAAAGTCTGACAAAGCTATTACTTTTGTCCGGTAATTTTGGCCCACTATACAGAGGTAGAAGAACCGTTATCAAAAGTAAATTAAAATCAAAAATCATAAAGGAAGAAGGGTTGTAACCAAAGGCACAAATTGGAGCTGGAGCCGTTGGATTTGGAAGTTTTTGGAAAAGATCGGAGTCATAAGAGTCTTTTAATGGCTCGACTCCTTCCGAAACCCGACAGCTACGGCTGCATTGCTTTGGGTCTTTCGGAAAACCTCCGGCTCCAGCTCCGGTTTCTTCACATAAATTTTCAGTCGTACTCGAGCTCGAGTACGACTGAAATTTTATGTGCTTGGTATTACTCGCGAGTAATACTAAGCAACTACGTTCGGTTTCCGTAAAGCGAGTACATTTAGAGCATAGTTATTGTTATTCGCTGAGATTACTCATATCAGTCCATTTGTATATAATAATTATTATTATTGTTCAAAATATTATTTAGAAGTATTTATTAGAAGTTTATAATGCCTAGAGGCTCTAGTTCACAATCCAATGGAAGCGATAATGATATAGATGTTTTAGGTGAGCATTTAAAAGTTTTCCAAAAGATGTTTATTTTCTATTATAAAGATCATTAACTTATACTTAATCATTAAGTACTCATTTAAATTTTATAAATCATTAAGTTAATGATTTATAAAATTTAAATGAGTTAAAAAAATCATTAAGTTAATACATATATTTTTGTTGTTTTTTTTTTTTTTTTTTTGTTATAAATTTTTAATATCTGTTGTTGTGGACACCTTGGCCATATTTTTTTTATAATACTACAAATAATTAATTAACAACAATTTTCGAATATGTATTTGTATATATATATATATCAATACTTAATTACAACATAAGTTTTTAGAATAATTTTATATTAAAAGACTTTTGACCACTAGTTTTTCCATTCAAAATATAAGCACAAGAGTATTATGTGATAGGGAATGTAATTACAAATTAACCATGTTTTTTGTTAAATTTAAAACAATTTCATTAAAAACAAGTTTCTTTTTTAAAAGTTATAAGAATGTATAATTTAAGTTATAAAATTTTAGTTATGTTTCGTTTATGAATCACTAAAAATTTTTTCATTAATTTGGTATATAATTTTATATATAAGTACTAAGATATTTTAATGTTCATATTTAAAGAAAGTATTTAAATTTTTAGTAAAATTTTTTATTTTATTTGCTAAACATAACAAATCTTTTTATGAAATTATTTTGCATATTTGAATAAGTTTCAAGATAAAAACTTTGGTTTAAACCTATGGTAATAAACACAACAAATGTCGAAACGGGTTATTTTTGTAATAAATGTAAATAACTCCACAGTCCTTGCATTATTTTTAAGGCATTATTATCAATATAGTTAACTGAAGAGTGGCCTATACTCTCAATTTTCTTTTGTATAATAAAAGATTATTTTTTTTAACATATGAACCTAGTTTATTTTGTAGCATTTTAAAAGTTTTAGTTCCCAAATCAGAGAACTGCAGCTCTTTAATTCATCTCATTTGAATCATTCTTGACACTTTAGCAACCTTTTCCTAATTTATATTTTAAGTTACAAAAAAATGAAGTTTCATATAGTTTTTATGTATATATGAAATGCTGTTTTTATTGCTTGGTGTTTTAAAACTAAAAACTGGGCTGTTTCAGCAATTGTTACTTGTTGTTGAGATCTCAAAAGGGGCATACCAGCAGTTTTAATGTCATTAAACATTTTTTGAGTTCTATTGCTTACACTATAAGTTAAGTGTTTTTTATCATCTCAATACCTGTCAAGTCAGTTATATCATGATTACCATTTAACCTGTCTTAAAATTTTTTTGATCATGCAGTAGCTGAAAAGCATCTACTCCAGTCTTCTGCCTTGTCTAGAAAATATTTAAAAGTATCATTTTGAACATACTTCAAAATAAGTTAATAAGGTTTTATATTAGGTAATTAAAAATACTGTTGGTAAACTAAATTTCCTGGTAAAGTACACCAAAAATAATGATGTAAAAAAAAAAAAAAAAAAAAAAATAGAAATAAAAAAAAAACTTGCAATTATATGTATCATTTATGTTTTATATTTGTAAAACATACAATTGGATTGTTATATTTACATTAATTTTTATGAATATTTACATAAATTTTTGTATTTGTATATAAAATTTTTTTTCTTTAATATACAAATACAAAAGTTTAATTTACAAATACAAAAATTGATTTTTTTAAAAATCTATTAATACAAAAGTTACTAGGTATTGATTTTTTTGTTTGTCACATAAGGGTGGCAGGTTAATTTGCCGCTTAAATTAACCTGCCACCCTTATGTGATGAATGAATCTTACCCTGCCTTCTAAATGCAGTCTCAAGCAAGCAAGTCGTTCATCTGAAAGTTATTGAGCTATTGGTTTAAAGAAGATTTTTTTACTTATCAGTGACAATGTTTTAAAGCACAATACAAATGTACTTAAATATAATACAAATGCCTTAAATATCATATTAAATAAAATATTATCATATGCAACCCTAAGAATTAGGGTTGGCATTTGGCAATGCCGACCTAACTCCCGACCTTAAAGTGTTTGAGTTTGACAAAAAATTGTTGACTATGTTTTTATGTCTTATGGTAAGACCTTTGCATCAATTTTTTTTTGCAACCAGATGCCGACCTCTAAAAGATTGAGGTCGGCAAATTATTGCAGACCTGATTTTTCCTAATTCTGAGAGTTGCATGTATATATATACAATTTTAAAACAAAATAAATTTAAACTTAAATTTAAAATTTACACAAAAAAATTTATTTAATAATAAAAATTATATTATAAAGTTAAATGAATAAAAATATGAATATTTATGAAAAAAAGAAAAGAGAAAAATTTGAGGTTTGGTAAATTGTGAATAATTAAGCATAACATCAGACAGCACCTTTTGCATAAAAAGTTGTTTTCAAAAGAATTCTTGGGGAAAAATGATTTCTAACAAACAGTTAAAAATAGCAGCTGCATAAGAAGGTGAAAAACATAGTTTAGAATAAACCATAGTTTAGAATAAGCCATGGTTTGGAATTTTGCTTGAGATAAAACCAACTAAGAGGAATAAAAGCTTTCATAACTGCTTGAATTCAGGAGAATATATTGGAGGCGCAATTATCAATGAAGAGATGAAAGACATAAGTTTGAAGATTGTAGTTTTGAGTCGCTCAAAAATAAGATTTTTGATTTTTATGGATATAAATTGTTCTCATAATAAAAACTTCATATAGCTGTGCAACTAAAATTGATTATAAATGCTCCAATGGATCTCTATTTGAGCATTAATGATCTATTTAATTAAGCATTAATGGTCAAGTTATTTGTTCAAATGGAGGTGTCAATCATTAAAAAAGAAATGACTTCTAATTTTCCAATTCAAAACCAAAAAAGTTTGAAGAAGGTGTATTCAAAACCAACTTTTTTGACTTAGGATGATCTAAAATGCAATAAAAAAGATTTTACTATCAATAGGTGGCACAAATAATTTAAAATTGTTCCTACCATTATTCAGTGAATATTACAATAATATAACAATATTGTATTTAGTATTTCTACTATTTTACATGCATATTAGATATAATAATATTGAACGTAATATTTTTCTTGTTTGGCAATTATTGTAGCAAGTCAACATTGGTTTTATAACTGATAATATCAGAAATGACAACAACACTAGTTCACAAATTCTCTGATATCACAAGCTCTGATATCACAAGCTCTGATATCACAAGCTCTGATATCACAAGTTTTGATAATGCAAGCTCTGATATCACAAGCTCTGATATCACAAGCTCTGATATCACAAGCTCTGATATCACAAGCTCTGATATCACAAACTTTTCATTAAGCAATCTGGTATTGAAATGAAATTTGACCAACAGAAAACTGTTTTAAAATCAACAAGCTAAACATAAATTTTGAGTTTTTTTATAAAAATTCCAACAATTCTTTTTTCTGCAATACTAAGTCAAGTTTAGTTTTGCAACTAAAATAAAAAATTCCTATACAAAATTAGCAATAGTTATAAGAAAAATATTTCATTAATTATGACAAAAATACTTATGAGTTTTTGACATGTTTAATGTGGTACTCAACAAAGAAATATTATTTTCTTACTTTGTATTATCATTTTTTTTACCTTAACATACATAAATAAAATTCAAAAAAGATCAAGAAATTTGAGCCTGTTCAGATTTGAGCTTTTAAAAATGTTCCATTTGGAAGCTAGAGACTAAAAAATAAGTAAAAAGTAAACATTTTTAATTCACACTTATTGACATTGGTGATACTGGAAGAAACAGTGACGGTGGTGTATTCAAAAAAAGTAAAATAGGAATTGCTTTTGAATCAAACTTATTGCATATCCCAGAACTTAAAAAGCCAAATTGGTTCAAACATAAAACTACCTCATGTTCTTATTGGAGATGAGGCTCAAAAACTATTCCTCTCAAAAACTATTAAATGAAACCACGTCCTTAAGAAATAAGTTTTTTATTTTTTATTTCTTGTTACACCATAGTTTTAATTCTTTTTCAAACATTTTTTAAAACAGTTTTATGATTTGTATTTAATAAAAATGATACACTGTACTTTTACCAATCACTGTTTTCTTTTTTCTGTAAGTAGTTTTTTACTTTATAAATTTATTGTATCAAAATGTGTTTTTTTTAGAACAAGAGTTATATCGTCTCAAAAAAGAATATAGAGTCATAGAAAGTGAACGCAAAACTTACACAAAAGAATCCCAAAGTATTATTCGAAAGCAAAGAGCTACTATTGCATCTCTAGAAGCTCAGCATAATGAATTGAATAAAGAAACTTCGTTAGCAGTTTTTAACAACGAACATAGCAGTGTTGGTTAAAATTTCAGTTAATTTTTGCAAAAAAATGAATTTTGTATACCTTTTATTTTAGGAATTTAAAAATGTCTTAAATAGTAAAATGATTAATTTTTAATGTTTTTAAAACTTTGTTTCTAAAACCCTGTCCACCAACACTTTACCAATAAATCCACCAGCACTTAACTACTAAAATCTTGCTTCCGGCACCTTAATCACTTAAATTTTACCACCAGCACCTTAATTATTAAACTTTTACCACCGGAATGTAACCACTAAAATCTTACCACCAGCACCTTAATTACTAAACTTTTTCCACTGAATTATACTGAATTCTATTGAAAAAATTACACACTAAAGCTTCTCATAATTTTACCAAAAAATTGCTAATTTATTGATATTGTGAATAAATATTTTGTGGAAATAATTCAAAACCTCCGTTTATAAGTGATTAAGGTCATGGGGTATAAGAAGTGTAATATATCTCCAGTGAAAATGTTGATAGTCAGTTGAGCTCAAATGGAAATTCATTTTACAAGACAGCACAATTTTATGGTAAATCTGCTGATAGACAAATTTTAAAGAGACATGAGCTTGCTGGATCCATAAAGATTTGAAGGCAATCAAGAAGATTATGCAAAAAAAAAAAAAAATTAGGACAAAAAGCTTATGATACTAAGCAACCAAAAACCCCATTTAACAGCTATTAATTTAAATGAACAAAGTTTATTTTTTTTTAGGTACTCCAAGAAGACCTTGTGACGGTCTTGTCACAGAGCACCATGGATGTGCATTTAACCAGGAAGTTTACACCTCCTTCCTTACCATGACGTGAAATGTTACTAGAAAATGTTTTTTATGTCATGGTATTGTATTTGGAAGATGTCTAGCCTAAAATCTTATATAAACGCTTATATATAAATGTTTGAGGCAAACATTTTTATATAAGTGTTTAATATTAACCCCATTAAGTTTAATTAAAATGGCTGCGTAAAAGAACTTATACTCTCCTACTCTATTTTTTAAGATAAATTTAGTGTAGCGTAATTTATGGACGATCCCTTAACTTACCATTTGTGGTAAAAAGTAGCATTAGCTACTTAAGGTAAAGACAAAATAAAGTTAGATTATAACAACACACATCAATTTAATTGAGGAAATTAATTAGGCTTATGGTTTTTTTTAAAAACCGCAAAAATGCAAATTAAAAGACTGGAATGTTTTTATAAACATTCTTAATGTTTTTAAAAACATAACTTTTTTATTTTATTACTTTTTTAAATAAAAACATTTTGAATGTTTTTATTTTTATTTTTTACTGACTATTTTACAGTCTGCTGCTACAAAAGACTGCTGCTACATTGACACATTGACTATCTTATAGCCTGCTGCTACAAGGAAGTACCGCTACATCGACTGAGGGTTCGGTTGGGGTAGGCAATCTATCTAATATTTAAAAAAACTTTATGTATATATATATATATATATATATATATATATATATATTACTGAGAAAAAAATGTATATATATATATATATATATATATATATATATATATATATATATATATATATATATATATATATATATATATATATATATATATATATATATATATTACTGAGAAAACCTTCAAAGACAGATAGTATAAACATAAAAACTCTTTTGTTTATGAAAGTACATAATCAAGGCCAACTCCACTGAACTATCAAAATTTGTGTGGGAATGCAAAAGTAAAGCTATAGAACCTATATTAAAATTGAATATTCTTGATCAAGCAGAGCCATTCAAACCTGGTGGTAAAGTTTGCAATTTATGCTTGACAGAAAAATACCACATTATTATTCGCACTCTCTAATATCTTCATGTTATATATATATATATATATATATATATATATATATATATATATATATATATATATATATATATATATATATATATATATATATATATATATATATATATATATATATATATATATATATATATATATATATATATATATATATATTAGGGTAGGTCATAAAATTTTTTTTAGAGTTGCTAACCTGACTATGGTCTAGAAAGTTGTTTTTTTATGTACTAATTTAGGAAAGTACTTACTTTTATGGATTGAACAATGTCTTCCACCCGCATCTATAATTACAAAAATTAGCAGGCCCTATTATTATTCAAAAAAAAAGTTTTTCAAAATTATGTGATGTAGGTACTCAAGTAAAGCGAAATTTTATAAAAATTTCAAAAACAATAATTTTTTCATATAAAATTATTATTTTAGATTTTATTGCATAATAACTATAGTTTTTTAACTAAAAGTAAAAAAGGTGCATTTTTACATGTTTTTTAATAACAATTTTTTTTGGCAATATAATTTTTATAAAACAAATATTATTTTTGAATTTTTTATAAAATTTTGCTTCTTTTGAGTGCCTTTTTTCTCCAAATTATTAGGGTACCGGTAATTTTCCCAATAAAGTTGGGCCCTTTAAATCTATCACAATCATTCTCATATTTGATCGTATCAATATTAATAACTATTAGCAATGTTTAGAGCCTGTAACAAGAAAAAAAAATTTTATGACCCACCCTAATATATATATATATATATATATATATATATATATATATATATATATATATATATATATATATATATATATATATATATATATATATATATATATATATATATATATATATATACATTTATATATATATATATATATATATATATATATATATATATATATATATATATATATATATATATATACATATATATATATATATATATATATATATATATATATATATATATATATATATATATATATATATATATATATATATATATATATGTGTATATATATATATATATGTATATGTATGTAATATATATATATATATATATATATATATATATATATATATATATATATATATATATATATATATATATATATATATATATATATATATATATATATATATATATATATATATATGTATATATATATATATATGTATATATATATATATATATATATATATATATATATATATATATATATATATATATATATATATATATATATATATATATGTAAATTATTATTATTTTTTAATTCTGATTCACGCCTAACAAGGCTGCAAGCAACCACTATTAGGTTGGGAGTTCCTATAAAACAAAGGATAGATTCAAAAAACAAGGAAATGATTGACAGAAGATCTGAAAAGTTGTAGGTTGTTTGAGTTAAAAAAGCATGATGGTGGGTGAGAGTTCCAAAGGGTTGAAGTGCAGTGAAAAAAACAACAACATGGGGCAGGTAGTGCTTGGTTATATGATATCATTAGCAGGGTGATCATGATGATTCTGATCCTGACCTGACTTGGAGTAGTGAAAAAAAGTTACTCCCTTTAATATCTTTTACCTACTCCAAATAATGCAAGCTCTAAACTTCCATGTTTAAGGTCTGCATTGTATGAAAGCGTTTATTAGAATGGCGCAGACTAACACCTAGTTATGTATCCAATGGTTAAAGAAAGTAATTTTTATTCTCTGACACCTATTCTGGTTGTTTGGTAAGTCTTTGTTTATAAAAAAAGCTTGTGTTATGTACAATTTTCTGGGTAAATGCTTTAAGGGTTCCACAGATGTCTATAAAACAGTTAAATAAAACTTGTCTGATATCTGGGATGGCTAATTTTTGCCCTCCTCCTGTTTAAAAGTTTTACAAATTTTACTATAGTTGAGTTTTAAGCTACTAATAACTTGATAAAATATTTTGATACTTAGCTACTGATTTTTTGTAACCATTTGCTTAAAGTATTTTTTTCCAAGTATTTTTATCTTGATCAAAAAACTTTAGATCTGGTTTTATAAGTAATTTCAATTTATTGTGTCGTAAAAACCTTAATTTTATAAGTAGTTTCAATTTGCGTCATAAAAACCTCATAAATCCAAATTAGTATTTTTTTACAAAACACACATAGAATAGTTTAATTCTAATGTGATCAAATGTGCATTTTTTCGACAACTAATTTGTCACAACTTAAATCAGGCTTATTATACTTTAATGCTGAGGAATGAATAAATGGTGAGGAATAATATAAAACCAAAAGCTTATTTTTGTCAAATCAAGATTTACGAGTTTTTTTTAGAGGTTGACATTTTTAAGATGCCTGATTACACTGAAAGTTTTTATAATTAATGACTGATATGTATATTTTCTAATTTTTATGGCTGACTTATTCTGATTTTTTTTTTCAATGTTGAATTATAGTTTTGTTGACAACTAGTAAAATTTAATAAATGGAATAGATCTTAATAAGCTTTGGGCGAGTGGGAAAATTTTCCAAATATTAATAATTTAAGGTCCCTTCCTGTGTATTAGGCATGCAAGACTTGTGTTAGTAATTTATTAAATAATATTGAATTAACAACAACAAGTTCTAATAAATCAAAAAAAACCTTTATATACTTATCTCAATAAATTTCAATATTTGAACTAAATCACAGTGTTACTTAAATTGGTAAGGAACAAAAGTTCTAAGTATATCTGTTTAATCAAAGTTGGCATACAATCTTTGCACATTTCTCATTGATTTTTTAGTTACAGTGATACATAAAAATACTTTTTAAATATAATTCTAAATACTTTTTTCTCTTTGCTCATGGAATATAAGTAGTGCAAAATAATTTTTTTTTTCACATAAATTAGCCTCTTGCGACTTCTGGAGAATCTTTAACAGTATCTATAACAAGGGTAAATCTGTTATTTCACCTCTCTTGTATGGATCAGATTTCATCACCTCATCTAAAGCAAAGCTGAATTGTTTGCTAAGAACTTCTCATCAATATCATCTTTTGATTCCACTAGTCACGTTCTAACTGATATAATCAACAAACAGGTTAACCCATTGCACGACCTTTGTATTACTCCAACTTCTGTATCTTAAGTGATTTTCTGCTTAGACTCTTCTACAGCTTGTGGTCAACATACTTGTTGTAGTCTTGCAGAATTGTTCTCTAAAGCTGTCATCTATACTTCCTAAACTATTTAACCAGTATCAGAGTCTTGTTTTCCAGCCTGCTGGAAAGCTGCATCTGTTATCCCTATTTTCAAAAAATTTTGGCAATCTGGCTTATCTAACTACCTTCCTATTAGTCTTCTTTCTATCATAAGCAAAGTTTTTGAATCTTTAATTAACAAACACTTGATCTCTTTTCTTGGAGCTAATAACTTATTTTCTGATCATCAATATAGATTTCGATCTTTTTGTACTACTGCTGATATGTTAACGATAATAACTGATAGGTTTTACAGTGCATTTAATATAGATGTGGTGAGGCTAAGGCTATTGCTCTCGACATTTCTAAAGCTTTTAATATAGTTTGGCATGCTGGTCTATTCCATAAGCTCTCTTCTTATGGTGTATCAGGTAACATCTTTAAGATTATGAAATTGTTCCTTACTAATCATAGTATAAAAGTTGTCCTCGATGGACTAAACTCTTCTTCATTTACTGTAATTTCAGTGGTTCCTCAAGGTTTAATCGTTGGCTCTATATTCTTTTTATTTTACATTAACGATCTTCCGGATATTCTCACATCTAAGGTGGCATTGTTCACTAATGATATTACCATTTATTCTTGTCATGATAAGATGGCAACACTCTCTAATTGAGTTTGTAAAGGATCTCAATTCTGCTACAGCATGGGGCTCTCAGTCAAACCATATATCAAATCAATTGCAAAATTAGCATCCACTAAAGTAGCATCTCTCTATGGTGCTTGCCACTTTCTTACTCCGGATTCTATTCTTTATCTCTATAAATCTCAAATCCGTCCTTGTATGTAATACTGTTGCCATATCTGAAGCAGATTTTATGAATAATGTCCTTTTTCTTTTAGACTAGACAAAAATGCTCTTGCAACCAACCTTCAACCATTATCACATCATTGTAGTATTGCTTCTCTTTCTCTTTTCTGTAAATACTTTATTGGGCACTGCTCTAAAGAGCTAGCGTCTCTTGTGCCATCTACTAAAATTCATTCTCATGTTACTCATTATTCAATTAAGTCTCACCCTTTTACTGTGACTGTTCCTAAGTGCTCCAAAAGTTATTATTCACCTAGATTTTTTCCTTGAACATCAGTTTTTTGGAATTCGCTTCCTTGATCTTGTTTTCCTGATTCACATAATTTACTATTTTTGAATTTGTCTGTTAATTGTTATCTTGCCTATAAATTTTATCTTTGCTCTTCCATTAACTTGCAACTCTAATAGTGGTTGTTTGCAGCCTTGTTGGAAGTGAAGATGTTGAAAAAAAAAATTAATTTATAAATATATTTATTCAAGTATGAAAGTTTAATGTGTAGTAATTTAATGTTAAGTAACAATTTTGATATTAATCTACACAATTACTCCCAAATTACAAATGCGTTCATTTTAAACCTTTAACTTTAACTATATAAACAGTTGAAATTTCAACTCTAAACTATTATAGGGTAAAGTAATACTATACTTCAAATCTCTTTTAAAAATTGTCTTTCCCTTAATACTCAACAAGTTTTAAAAGTCTAATTTCAAAATGCTTGACAATTTATTACATCTTTTTTATATATGTTTAGAATGACAAAGCAGTTGAAAATGTTTCTGAATTGTTAAAAGTGATTGGTATGTTTTAATTTCTATTCATATCATGCATTTATTTTTTAATTTTTTTTATTATTATTTTTTATTTTTTAATAAATTTACTTCTTCAATAAGGAGGGTTATAAATTTTCAAAAGAATTTTTTTTTGCTAACTTTTTACTACATTCCATGTTACCACTAATGCTTAATAATTTTTTTTTAACCTAATTTCCATATCAACTTTACTTCTTGAGTTTTTATAACACTAAAAAAATATTCAGTTTGAGTTTCAAATTTTTTGTAATTTTCACCTCACTATTACTTAATTTTGTTCAACCTTTTTCCTCTTTTCGATACCACCTACTGTTTACTAAATTAAAAAGAAAAAAATTTTCTACTTTTATTTTATTTTATCAATACTTATCACCTAGTTCATGATTAATTTTAATTTTAAATAATATATTTTTAAAATGATAATATTTAGTGTAAAAATATTTTTTAGATGTTTTGAAGCAACATATGCATAAAGCAAAAACAAACCTCTCTAAAATCAATCAGGAGGTATGATTTGAATTTATTTAAATTGTAATTTGTTAATCTAAAGATATGATAGAGTTCATTAAGTAATGCTGTATTATTAAATTATAAGTTATATTCTATGAAGCAGAAGTATGATAAGTAGAATTTAAATAGCTGGAAGTAGTTAAATAATTTTTATTAATCAGGAGGTATTGTTTCATTCATCATGTTTATAAGAAATATAATAAATTAAAAAAGAAAAAACACGAATTATTGTTTTTAGTTAACAAAAAGATGTTTAGTTAAGTTATGCCGGTTATTTAGGTTTCGAATTAAAATTTTATAATTGTTTTAATTTTTTAAATATATAATTTTTTTAAATTTTTTAATTTAATTTTTTATATTTTTTAAATTTTATAATTGTTTTTAATTTTTTAAATATATACAGGTATCTTTCTAAATACAGGTCTATTTTTTAATAAATTTTAATAAAGTTTCATGCTCAAAGCTTTAGCATAAAAAAATTTCTCTGATTGTAATTTTATCACATTATTGTTTTATATTTTAGTTGATGTAATCATTTTCCATCAAGTTACTGATAATTCCAGTTTGGCAGTCCAAGTATCAAAACAAAAAGCTGTTATAAGTCAATATTCAACCAGCCTGGTTGAATATTGACTTATAAAAACTTGACAATTAAAAATTACAATAAATGAAAAATGCAATAAAAGGAAATCTTTTTGGGTAAAGTTATATACTTAAAATTACTTATATCCTTTTATTTAAGTTATATACTTTTAATTAAGTTATATACTCAAAATTAAAGTTATATACTTAAAAGCAAGAAGTAGTTGATGCAGAACAGATATTGATATTTCTAATATCAATCTACTTTAAATTATCATGCAACTGGTAAGAAGTATGAAGTAGTGATGTACCAATGACAAAAGTCAATTGTGGTTTATGTTAGGGTTTAATATATCAATATATTATACTAGCTGGTATGACCCGTACGATACAGGTCGTGCCAAGTCTAATCCACACCCGACAATTTCTAAACTTGTTCCTTAGTCTTTATACTTTAATTTATTTAGTAAATGGCAAAAAATAAATCAATTTAAAGTTCTGGTAGATGGTAAAATACGAATTTTAATTGCAATTACAATTAAAGTTTGCATTTTACCATCTACCAGAAAAAGACGTTTAAAACGCCTTATAAACGTCTTTTTTAGGTTTGGTGCCCAATTTTTTAGGTCTGGTGCCCAGTATTGCCTACTGGTTTTCTGTAAAAAAACTCTTAAATTGTTTATATTATTATAAAAAATTTATATAATAGTTGAAATATATTAACAATTATACTGTTTTAATTGCTGAATTAGCTGTGGTGACCCGTACAATTCGGGTCACGGCAACTCTATTCAACATCCGGCTATTTCCAAACTTGTTCTTAGTTAGGTCTCTATACCTTAAGTAAACAGCAAAAAAATAGTTGTTTTAAAGTTTTTGGTTAGCAATTGATCCAATATTTTATACATAAAAGGATCTTTAACATAATAGAGACAGTTGCATAACAATTCTTCAGGTGTTTTTGAAAACTTAAGCTATAATCAAGATTTTACCCTCTCATCAAGATTTATTTAAAAAACAAATTTGGACATTAGAAAACGGGCCTAAGAGACTTGTTATTTTAAATAAGTTAGCTTTATCCGTTTGATACTTTTTATAAAAATGTTGTTGTAAAAAACAAAACTGTTAACAAATTCATTCAAATAAGCTGTTTTTACATCCGAAGTTATTAAGCATATTGTTTGTGCTAATCGATACTTAATGCCAATGTAAATTTCGAGTACAAAATACGATTTTAAGTATAAATGGTTTCTATTCATATCTATAAAAAGCAGCAAAAATATAAAAAACAATGCAAAAATGATCAATATATCTATTTGAAACAATAAATCCAAAATAAAAAAAATATAGATATTTACTTAAGAAACAAAAAAGATATTTTTCTTAAGATAAAATAAAAATATAAACTTTAAAAAAAATTACAAAAAAAAAAAAAATTATATTTAACAAAAAGTAACAAAAATACTTAAAAAACAATTTAAATTGAAACATTATTTCATTATTATTAGGCTTTAGGTAGGCCATAATCAAGTCAGCCATAAGAAAAGGAACTCGACCTAAAAATGGAACAAAATTATTTTAAACATAATACACATTAATAACAAATTAACATGTCATGCAATCAATTAATTTTTTTGAAAACTCAAAAATGTGAATAAGTGGATAAGAAACTTATTTTTTATTTTTCCATAACCCTGAAAAATCAACATGAATATGAGATAAGCCTATTAGTATAAAACATCACAACAATTAATTAACAGAACATGTTAAAGTAAACTCTAGATAACCCACCCCTTTAAAGGACAAAGAAATTAGTTTAGTTTAAAAAAGATTAGAGTTATTGGGAGTATAATATTAAAAAAAAGCTTAAGTGGAATTTCAAAATTAGTTTATATTGTTGAGGGTTGATTTATCCTGAGTTTATTAAACATATTTAAACTACTAACTGCACATACTTATAAAAACATACATAAACATTTAAAAAACATAAATCTTTTACTTTATATAACACATATATATTAACATATAGAAAAAAACACATTATAAGCAATTACCACATGAGACATTAATACTTATCAAAAACCATTACAAACATCACATTTTAAAAATGAAATATTATTTGTGTAATATACATTCAATGACATACCTTGTAGCGATGTTAATCAAAGTTATACAATAAATTATAAAATGTCTTGGTTCTAAAACATGCTACATAGAATTTGGTTGTGTGAAAACCAAGTCATTTTGAGATTAGCATTAACTTTATCAAATGTTTGACTGTAACTTTTATTTCTTGTCCATGAGTATTGTTAATAAAAGTGTTTTTATTTAAATGATTTAATTAATTTGATGGTATTAAAATTAATGGGAAAAATTAAAAAACTACACAAAAATTAAGTAACAAAAATATATTAAAAAAAAAAAGTTACAAAAAATAAATAAAAAACTGTGGCACAACAGTTGTAAATCTAAAATGTGAAGAAATTATTTACAACTGTTGCGCCACACCTTCTCCTCCCAGCACCCCCTCTTTCCCTCCCCCTGGGATGCTGGGAGCAATATTTTTTGAAATCTTCCCATAATTTTAAGTCTGAAAAAAAAAATTATATTATAAAATCTACCAAGGTGGTACTTACAAAAACTATAAAAAAACAAAAGTAATAAATGTATTAAAGTACAAGTGACTACAACAACTTATTTGTTATACTCACTTGTACTTGACTTATTACATTAACTAATTAAACTGGAAAACACATCTGTAGCTATATTAAAAAACGAAAGGTACAATAAAGTGAATTAGCTTAATGGTAAGTACAAAAACTTACTTTTTAAATTTGAAGACAGCAACTGAAATGAAATAGAAAAATTAAAAATAAAATAAAATTAACCAGTCAATGTAATAAGTCAAGTATAAGTGAATAGAACAACTTACTTGTACCAGAAGAAGCAGCAGCTAGATATATAAAAGAAAATAAAAAATGCAATAAAACTAATCAATCAATGTTAGAAGTCAAGTATAAGTGAATAAAACAACTTACTTGTTACAGAGGAAGCAGCAGCTAGATATAAATAAAAAAAAAGTTAAAAATGCAATAAAACTAATCAAATAATGTAATCAGTCAAAATAATTTAAGTTAGTACATCAACTTACTTGTAACAGAAGAAGAAACAGCTAGATATAAATAAAAGAAAATTAAAAATGAAATAAAAACAGTCAATCAATGTAATAAGTCAAAATAATTCAAGTGAGACAACAACTTACTTGTAACAGAAGAAGAAGCAGCAGCTAGAGATAATTAAAATGAAATTTAAAATGCAAAATTATCAATTAACATAATCAGTCAAGTATAAATGAATACAACAACTTACTTGAAACAGAAGAATCAGCAGCTAGAGATAAATAAAACAGAAAATACAATAAAACCAATCAATCAATGTAAGAAGTCAAGTATAAGTATAAGTGAATAAAACAACTTACTTGTACCAGAGGAAGCAGCAGCTAAAATAAAATATGTGCATGTGGCAAACCACGTTTTTGAAACTCAATAACCTGCACATGACTTACAACTTTGCCTAAGACTCCATGCTTGAAAATATCTTCTAAGAAAAATTCAAGTTTCATTTCAAATACCCAACAAACTAAATCAGGTCTGTCATTAGCAGTTTGGCCAGGGTTTAAATTTTCTACTATTTCTCTCCATTTTGGATTGCAGGTAAAAGTAATGAATAGATCTGGTTTACCATATTTCTTTATGACTGCCATTGCATGTTCAAAGTTTTCTTTTAGTGCTCTTGGACTACCAACATAAGAAGAAGGCAATATAACAACACGGCCTGGTCTTACATTAAGATCATTAGCACGATTAATTATGCGTTCGTGCAATACATCATATTGTTCACTTCTAAGTTTGTTTTGGTTTTTTCTAATAAAAGCAAGGCGCTGTCCCTCAACTTTGACATATGCATCAACAACGTATTGCTGAAAAAGTTTCTTACCATAGAATATAGGACTAAAAGTTTTTCTAACCGCAAGCCTATAATTATAATACTGAGACAAAGTAACATGGTTTCTAATACAAGTTGCGCGGTCAGGGTTGTGCTCCAGTTGATTGTGTTATCCAAGTTGGTCTACCTTTTAAAGCTGCTCGCCGGATTTCTTCATCCTCTACTTCTGCCATGTTTTTAAATGCAAGAGCAAATGGGTTTTTTTAATTAATTAATGTTTTCAAAAGTTGCATTAACTCGCGTATACAACCATTATTACCAGGTTGCTTCATTCTGAATGACACTGCTGCATTAGGATCATAGGTATATAACTGACAATATTTGGGAAAATCGCCTTCTGCAGGCCTCAAATTTCCAACACCATGCAAAATTTGCCCACAGATCCTAAAACAAAAAGGGCCATTATTTGAGGGAGGAGCTAATTTGGCAGTGAAGAAAGCAAAAGATAAAGAGAAATTATAACTCCTTATGTGTTTAAAAAATTTTTGATTTACAGCATGATCAACATGGTTTCCTGTCATAAAATCAGTCAACAATGGTGGATAAAAAGAAAGTGGAGCTAATACAACTTTTCCTGAATGGCAGCACAAAAAATTTCATTTAAAAATTTCTTCGCACTACAATACTGACAATTATGGTTGAATTTTCCAAGGTAATAACTTTCTATAGAAGTATTATTTCTTGCTATGCAATGCATATTATACATATTGAGTTCTCGCCTAGCCTGATTTATTTCATTTTGATTACAATTTATTTCAGCTTGCCTGGATTCAAGTTTTTCATTCTGATGGCAGTTTATCTCAGCTCGCCTGGGCTCATCTCTTTCATTCCGACAGCGGTTTATCTCAGCTTATCTTTTTTGAATAAATACTAAAAATATTATTAGTATTTAATCAAAAAAACAAAAGTAAAGTAATTTAAAAAATAAATTTTTTACATTTAAGAACTCATAAATAAAGCAAATTAAAAATAATAAGGTCTGTCTGCTCAGCAAGAGGATAAAATGTAATCATTCATCATAAAAACACTTTCATTACTTTGAAACGCATTTAATGGAAGATTTGCAATAAATAAGTAAATACAAAACTTAAAAAAGAAAACTTGTATAAACAAACATATATTTGCTTTAAGTGAAGAAACTTGGAAATATTGAAACTTGTTTAACTATTTTAATTTTTTTTTAGATATCTAATATTCTAAAGAAAAAAGTCAATAATATATATTCTATACATACAATATATGTATAGACTCTTTAATTTTATATATTTTGTTGTATATATGTCATATATATATATATATATATATATATATATATATATATATATATATATATATATATATATATATATATATATATATATATATATATATATATATATATATATATATATATATATATATATAAAATTTGTTTAATTTTACACTTTAATTTTATATATTTTATTGTATATATGTCATTTTTTCTTGTCATTTTTTGTCATTTCAATTTAGTATGCTGTTAGTGATGTTCGGGGCTTCCCAAAAGTCTTGTTGCATGGCTCTAGTTCATCAAAATCTTTTATAGTTTTAATTGGTTTTTGTTAGACCTAAAAGGTAAAATGGCCTACAAATAGGTTGAACCACTGTGGTCCATAAATAGTCTCAGTTCTTACATTTGGAATACCTTAGCTTACCCAGGGCTTATTATGTTTTTAATGCCAACTGGTAAAAAAACTCAGACATTTACAAAGTAATGTTAATTATTTATTTCAAATAAATTTAAAAGTTAAGTAAACAAATTTAGATTCTATTTAGTCTACTTGAATAAAATTGTGCAAATTAAAAAAAAATTAATGAAAAAAAAAATAAAGGTTATAAAATGTTTCATTGTCACCGAAATTATTACTATTTTGTGGATAAAAAATTTGGCCTGAAACTGAAGCTTATGTCTTCTGTAAAAAAAAGTAAGTCTGTAAATCTGTAAGTCATCTGTAAAGCACTCTTCAAGAATTTTTTGCTTCTGACATTTTCTCCTAAATTCACATTTTGCAATTTGTACAATAAAAAGCTAAATATATATAATAATTTAAATAAATTATCAGAATGAGATTTATAAAGGTTTATTTCATTACAGATATTGAATGCAGAAAAAAAAATCAACATGCAGCGGAAGAAAATGGGAGGGTACTATTTTTTATAATTTTTATTTTTAATTTTGCTTGTTTATTTGTTTATAAAATGTAAATTTTGTTTAACAATAAATTATTTTTGCATATAATTTTTTTATAAAAATATAAGAATATAAAGGTTTAAACTTAAAAGAAATTTTAAACAAATTAAAATTCGAACATCCTAATTTCTACAAAATAAAATACAACTTAGAAAAAATGCTGGTTATAATTATTTACAAAATATTTTTTCTAGTTAGAAGTATTTGCATCGAATGTTCGAACTTACGCTTTTTAACTAAATTCATACAAATTTCCAAGCATTGGTGTGAATTAACTTTAGTTTAAATTTTCAATGATATTTTCTTTATATGTTCCTGTACAAAAAAGTGCTTTTTAATTTAAGAAATAGTTCCTATCACTTTCACTATTTACAATAGATAAATTACCAGTTAGGTTATTGTATAGTGATTTTATGTTGATCTATGAGGTCATTTCTAGTCATGCTATCAACTTTATTATTTTGACCTCATTTTGGTATCAAATGAGGTTTTTTTTAAAAATAATGCTGTTAGAGCCTTGGATCAAACAATTTTAAATTCAAAATATTTATCTTGAAAGATTGGGTAAAGGACTTTCAAAATATATATACATACTTTTTGTGTCGTTACTTTGGGTGCTCCAATAATATCTAATGGCATCTAAGAGTACAGTGAAAGAGGATTTAACTCATGAGTTTACGCTTTCTTCATGATGCAAAAATGGCTAGAGCAAGCATTGAACCACAGATCTCTTAAATCTGAAGCAAACTACAACTTTTTTTTTCAACATCTTTGCTTCCAACAAGGCTGCAAGCAACAACTATTAGAGTAAGAAGTTACTGGAAGGGAAAAGATGAAGTTTATAGAGCAAGATAACAATTGACAGACGACTTATAATATTGCAAGTTATATGAATCATGAAAACAAGATGAAGAAAGCAAATTCTAAAGAACTGATGATCGAGGAAAGAAACTAGGTAAATAAAAATTTTTGGAGCACTTAAGAACAGTCACAGTAAAAGGATGAGACTTAATAGAATGACGAGTAACACGAGAATGAGTTTTAGTAATTGGCACAAGAGACACTAGCTCTTTAGAGCAGTGCTCATTATAATATTTGTAGAAAAGAAAAAGAGAAGCAACATTACAACAATGTGATAATGGTTGGAGTTTGGCTGCAGGAGCAGGTCCAACTATATTTGCAATGCGTTTTTGCACTTTGTCTAAAAGAGAAAGGGCATCATTGGAAGATCTGACCCAGATATGACAACAGTGTTTCATAAAGTGAGATCCTTTTCAAGCTCAAATTCCCCCTCCAAGTAACACAAGAATAAATGGTAGTATCATCAGCAAACAATGCCACCTAAGATGTGGGAATATCTGGAAATTAAAAAGAGTATAGGGCCAAGGATAGAACTTTGAGGAACCCCTGAAGTTACAGGATATAAAGAAAAGTGCTGTCCATCGAGGACAACTTTTATACTACAATTGGAAAGAATTCAATAATTTTAAAGGTGTTGCCTGATACTTAAGCCTTTGGATAAGACCAGCATGCCAAACTTTTTCAAAAGCTTTAGAAATGTCAAGAGCAATAGCCTTAACCTTTCCACCTTTATTTAATGCACAATAAAACCTATCGGTTATTATTGTTAGCAAATCAGCCGTAGAATGAGAAGATCAAAATCCTTATTGATGATCAGAAAGTAAGTTATTAGATTCAAGATTAGAGATTAAGTGTTTGTTAATTAAAGATTCAAAAACCTTGAATATGATAGGAAGATGACTAATGGGACGGTAGATGATGCTAATGCCAACATCACAGTTAATGGATCCAAACACCTCATATAGTTTTACCATGATTTTAATATTACTTCTACAGCAAGCTCGTTTCAGTAGTCTTAAAAGTTTAATTTAGCGTTAATTAAAAGTAATTTAATAAATTTTTAATTAAAAATAATACAATGTAGATAAAATAAGATTTAGAATGACACTGCTAAAAAATTATTACTCAATTTTAACAAGGTAAAATCAAATTGTTAATTAAATACCACCAGTTTTTAAAATACCACCAGTTAACAAATATAATAATAATAGTGAACACAATCAGTATAGATTAATATCCTTCCATTTTTTTGAAATGACATAAGTATATAGTTAATGACTTGTAAATTTCTAATTGAAAATTTAGATTTCTACTGTTTAAAAATGTCCTTAAAACTCAAAAAATGTAAAAATGTTAAACTTTAAAAGAATGGCTTGAATATAAATAGTAATCCAAAATAAAAAATAAAAAAATTTCAATAAGAAAACAATACCTTGGGTACATTTAGAAACAATAGCAATAGGTTCAAATAGGATGGGCTAATATATATATATATATATATATATATATATATATATATATATATATATATATATATATATATATATATATGTATATATATATATATATATATATATATATATATATATATATATATATATATGTGTATATATATATATATATATATATATATATATATATATATATATATATATATATATATATATATATATATATATATATATATATATGTATATATATATATATATATATATATATATATATATATATATATATATATATATATATATATATGTATATATATATATATGTATATATATATATATATATATATATATATATATATATATATATATATATATATATATATATATATATATATATATATATATATATATATATATATAGTTATATATATATATATATATATATATATATATAGTTATATATATAAGTAGTGATGCTTTTTTGTACATATACTATCAAGAAAGTGCTTGATGAACTAAGTCAAAGCTATAATATAGTAGAAAATAAAACTATGTGATTTTTACAACTTTAAGTTTCATGCTGTTTGAATCATCAGGTGAAATACAAAATACAAACTATTAATAGAAAACATCACAAAAACATACAAGAAAGCCCCTTAAAAAACTAGAAATTTAAATCAACCTCAAAGCAAAAAGCATAGCATCTAAACTAAAATTTAAACAAACTAATCAATATAATTGTCAAATCAGAAACATTCATTGCATTAAACAACTAAAAAAACAACTTTGATAATCTAAAACCTTTTTGCCTATTAAATCTAGCAAAAAGTTAACTCAGAGTTGTCAGCAAAACTCACTTAGATAAAATTAACAAGGAAATAAAAAAGAAATTAAGACTAAACCAATGAAAAAACACCACTATAGTAATAAAATGGTTTACAAACATAAGCAAAAAGCAACACTGTGTGTTTATACAACTCGACATAAATGAATTTTACCCATCTATCACAAAAGACATACTAAACAACGCTTTAATATTTGCAAAACAACACACTGAAATCAGCAATTAAAAAATTAGAGTCAAATCATTGCAGAAAATTGCTATTATCTTTTAAAAAAAAAACATGGATAAAAAAGGTGTATAACGATTGTTTTAATGCCACAATGGGATGTTTTGACAGAGCCGAAGTATGTGAACTGGTGGGTTTATACATTCTAGACTCTTTATTCAAAACCATTACAAAAATTGATATAGGTCTTTACCGAGATGACGGATTGATGGTAATGCGCAAAAAAACTACCGCACAGTTAGACAAAGTCAAAAAAAAAAAAAATAGAATTAAGATATTTAAAAAATATCGAATTCCAAATAGAGATTCAAACAAAATTAACCAGTGTTAATTTTGTTGATGTAACTAAAATTAAAAAAAAAAAAATGACTAACTACTCTACATCAACACTGAATCAAACCACTTGCCCAGAGTCCTTAATCAGATCCCACTCTTCATTAATGATCAACTGATCAATGATCACAAAATTCTTCCAATGTAAAAAGATTTAACTCATCAAAAACAGAATATGAATACAAAGAAGCACTTAAACAAAACGGTTTTAAAAACTTATAACTTATATTAACTTGAAGTACAGCCCAAAAAAAAAAGCACCCCCAATAGAAAAGGAATATAATTTGGTTTAACCCACCCTACAATAAAAGCGTCTGCACCAATGTTGGCCAGATCTTTTTGTGATTAATAGATAAGCATTTCCCACCTTCAAACTCATTGCATAAACTATTCAATTGAAACACCACAAAAGTTAGCTACATCTGCTCAAACAACATTTCAAAAATAATAAAAGGTCACAATACAAAAATAAATTCAAAAAACACGATTGAAAATTTCCCTTGAAATTGCAAACGAAAAGAAATATGCCCGCTGAATAAATAATGTAGAGCGACAAACATAATTTACAAACATTTTTGCTCATTTTGTGAAATGGATAGCTCTATTATTAATTAAAAAAACATATATTTATTATAAATAATATTTAATACGCAGAGTATTTATTAAAAGAACAAAAGTTTAACATATCACAATTTGCGCAACAGCACTTTTTGCTTCCATTTCACTAAATGAGCAAAAAATTGCATAGTTTGTGGAATGCGCAAATATATATATATATATATATATATATATATATATATATATATATATATATATATATATATATATATATATATATATATATATATATATATATATATATTATATATATATATATATATATATATATATATATATATATATATATATATATATATATATATATATTATATATACATATATATATATATATATATATATATATATATATATATATATATATATATATATATATATATATATATATATATATATATATATATATATATATATATATATATATATATATATGTATATATTATATATACATATATATATATATATATATATATATATATATATATATATATATATATACATATATATATATATATATATATACATATATATATATATATATATATATATATATATATATATATATATATATATATATATATATATATATATATATATATATATATATATAAAATGATTTTAATTAATTTTTTTAATTTTGTTTGATAAGCAGTTTAAGTTTTTTACACTGTATCTATGACCCAGCCGACACATCTAATTTCTAACACGTGTTTGCAACTTTTGTTTGTGACGTGTTGAGCACGGTCACCTGTAACCCGGCTTCAAGTGTTTAAGACGTGGCATCGGACATGTGAAAATCACGTAACTAATTTCGTTTCTAGCCCGTGTTGTATTTCATTTGCAACACGTGTTCAAGATTACTAACCTTAATTAATCATATATGCAACAAAACATTTATTTTAATTTTGTTTACATTTCAGTTTTCAGCATAAATTCTTAACTTTTGCAATTTAACTAGCGAAGTTAAGAATTTTCGAATTCAAAAAGAGAGAAAAGAAAGTAATAAGAATGATAATGGTTTATTGTTATTCAATTGCTTTACACTATATACTTTTTAAACTTATGTAAAAACTGTGACAGCAATGCAGTTTATTATATTCAAACTTCATTGCAATCGCAAATTATCGATAATATATTGCTTTTTTAATTGAATAAATTACTTTTTGAATTATTCGAGTTTCATAGTAATGCAACTGACTCGCTAAATTTTTGATGTAAATGCTGGTTTTTAAATATAACTGAAAAAAGTAATGCATACAAATTGAGTAAAAGAACTTATCAAAATTACAGACAAATAAATAACATCAGTATAGACTAATAAAATAAAAAAAGTTTTTTAAAGTTTGTCTTCAAATAATATGCGATACCACTGTTTAGCTGCGACTCTTTTACGGGATTGTTTTAAAAGCTCACTCATCTTTGTTTTGAGGTATGTCTCTGAACATGGTTTCCACTTTTGTGTCAAAGACTTCAACATGCACATTAGTAAAGTTTCTAACTCTGTTAATGCAACATGGTCGGTATAGTTTTTTCCAGGTACATTATTGCCGTACATAAGATTGACTTTATCCTGGACTTCATTCGTCATTAACATATCAAAGATAGATGCAATATGTTCTTTTTGATTGTCCGATGAAAGAGCCAAAGCATCAAACGATAATTTTAGTTTCCGTTGAAGTTTAACGTCTGCTTTCAATTTGGCTTCAAAAGGAACAAGATCTTTAGAGTGGCTGATTCGGTTAAATAAACTATTGTCATCTTTATCTGCGTTTTTAGTTAAAACTTCAGCTAATTGATCGAATTTTTTCTCTAATAAAACCAATCGGTGACTGATATGTGACAAAGACAACATCACTTTTTGTTGAAACTCGGCTGCTTCCAATGGGTATAGGCTATTTTTACTGTTTAATCGCATTTTCCCCTCTCTATTAGATATTGTTGGTTGTGATTTTGCATTTTCTGTACCTATAAAAAAGTAAGAAATATAGTGAAAACTATAAAAAAAGTAAGAAATATAGTGAAAAGGTCTTTAGAGAACTTTTTACTATATACTTCTTTTCTCTTCTATATATATTATAAAAGTATATGTGCATTAGTTAACTCATTATAAAGTTGAACTAAATTCAAAAATATTGATCAGATACTTAAACAAAGGAAACCTGATTCCATGTGTTGTTCACTGTAACCAATATCATTCTCACAGATTGTTTCTATTGTGTCACCACTGGTGACAGGAAGAAATGTTAGCATTTTATCTTGTTCTAGATCCGGAACAAATGTAACAGGAAGAGATGTTTGCATTTTAGCTTGGTCTTAAACTAAAATGAAGGTATACAAGTATGGATATATAATATATGTTGTATTTGACTCATCAAAAAAAAATTATTTTGGATTATTAAGATTTTAAAATTACTACTATAAGTGATACATTTTTTTCACTCAACCAGTTTAATCTTTTAAACTTTTTTGAATTTGATCAGATTATCTTTTTAAGTTATTAAAAAAAATAAAAGTAACTAGCTCCAACAGTTTTTTAAAGAGTGTGTTAAAAATATAAATTTATAAAAGAAAAAAATTCTGATCATAGGTGTGAATATTGTCAAAGTTCAAGACTTACCAACAGTAAAGTCCAATATTTCCCAATTATTGATCACAGTATTACTTCTTGGTTGTATTCTATCACCATGGCAGTGTTCAATACTGGGGCATTTAACTAATTGATTGACTAAAAAGAAAAATAGACTATAGTAAAAAAAAAAGAACATAATATAATATGTAACACATACAAAAATAATTTGAAATTGAAAGATACCACAAGTATTCTCAATTGTAGATGCTGTCATGTTTTGTTTATTACTGTACTTTTTCTTAGTTATAACATCCTCTTCCATTTCTTCACTACTATCTAATAATAAAAAAAGCAATGAGCTTAAATTTATTGCAAAATGAAACTGACAATACCACTGCTGAAAAACTGACAATTAAATATTTTATATTTGGCATTTATGTTTGTTTGTGTTCTGTTTATACTCTAATGCAGCGTGAGCTCAGTAACTAACTACTTACTCCAACTACAAAACGTACACTCACCTTAGACTCCTGTATTTTGTTAGATGCAGTGTTTTTCCTAATCCACTTCCAAAATGTCATGCCTGGTTTTCTCAAAGTACTGTTGCGGGAAGTAGCTCCTTTTAACTACTCCAGGTCAGGTCAGGATAAATGAGATCAATCTTGCTACTGGTATCACGTAACCCAGTACCACCTGCCACAAGCCCTGCTGCCTTGCAGAGTGTGCTCTTCTTATGCAAAGACTAGGAGAAATAAACTCCGACTAAAAATTCCTCTGCCTTGGGGCTCTTGGTTGAGTAAAGGCTAGAGATGGTGTCTCGATAAAAACACTCATCTTGGGCAGATGTTAACTGCATCCAGCTAAACATCCCCTGCCTTGGCATCTTGGGCAGATGTTAACTGCATCCTGCTACTGTCTTGTAGAAGGCCTCCTAGGCAAAGACTTTAGGGGTAAGCAGAAAAATTCTGCTAACCAGCCTCAAACCCCTTCTTCATCTATTAGGCTGGCATAGATGTAACCTGTGTTACATTGTTTCCTGCCTAGGATGATGAATGCTGGATCTCCTTGACTCTACTCATAGAGTTTTGCTTATGCCTCCTTGATAATGGCTATGTAACTCTTCCTGTTATCTCCATATGAGGGTACAGCTCTAAAACTCAGTTTAATGGTTCTGAGGCCGGCTGGTAGTAAGGTTTCCCGAACTCTGTGGTAGCTCTCAAAGAGGCTGATTCCATCAACAGCTGCAAAATATCAGAGTATTAACAGTGCCATGTTGCGCATGGATGGTGTCCTTGTTAATGCTTTTGGTGTGCATTGTCAAGGCCACATAAGGAGCCCTATGTCACGGCTTAGGGTTAATTAACAGGACAGAGACAACTGCATAGCTCATTGATTAGGAGGCTGTGCTCTATCTATGAATGAGTCAAGTTCTCATTAAATCCAATTCATGACCAAAGTAACTAAAACTTTAAAACCTAAAAAACCATCCCTACCACCTAAATATTTTAATATATCTTTTACAAATATTCGCGGTCTACGAAGCAACTTTCTATCAGTTGAGTCTTACCTCCTGCAAAATTCACCAGACTTGCTTGCACTCAGTGAAACAAATTTAAATTCTGCAATTCCTTCTTCAGATGTCAGTGTTGATGGATACTATCCTTTGATTCGTAAAGACTCAAATAGTCACATGCTAGGTTTAGGGGTATACATACGCATTAGTTCCCCTATTTGTCGTGAAATCAGGTTCGAATCCTTTGACCATTCTTTTATGTGCTTTCGCCTAGCACCTCTTCACTCTATCACCTTTCTCTTTGTTTTTTATCATTCCTTCTTCCCATGATTGCACTCTCTTAGATGTTATCTCTGATCAAATTGACCATGCCCTCTCTCTTTACCCCTCTGCCAATATTGTTGTTGTTGGTGATTTTAATGCCCGTCACACTGAATGGCTTGGCTCTAACACCACTGATCCTGCTGGCACTAAAGCCTTTAACTTCTGCGTTTCTCAATCTCTTACTCAGATAGTTAACTTTGTGACTCGTTTTCCTGACAACCCTAATCATTTACCTTCACTCCTTGACTTATGTCTTGTCTCTGACCCTAGCTTATGTTCAGTTTCTCCCTTTTCTCCCTTAGGTGGTTCTGACCATGCAATGATCTCTATAAATCTTTCTTCTAGTACTTCTTTTTTGGGCTCACCTTATCATCGCACCACCTACTACTACCCTAAAGCTGACTGGGATTCCTTTCGTGATTTTCTTCGTGATGGTCCTTGGGCTGATGTTTTTTCTCTCTCAGCTGACAAATGCGCCTCCTACGTAACCTCCTGGATTCAGGCTGGAATGGAAGCTTTTATTCCTTCTCGTCGGTTTCAAGCCAAGCCTCATTCTACTCCATGGTTTTTTCCTTCTTGTGCGGCTGCTATATCCAATCGTAACCATTTTTTTCATCTTTTTCAAAAGAACAACTCTCTTGAGAACAAACGGCTATTTGTTATTGCAAGAAATCGATGTAAAAAATTGCTTTCTGATGCTAAACTCCATTATTCTCAGTTCACTAAATCTCGCATCTTATCGCAAAAGTTAGGCTCTAAAGACTTTTGGAAAATCTTCAACAGCATTGTTAACAAGGGTAGTTCTAACATTCCATCTCTCATTCATGGGACTGATCTTGTTACCTCTCCCAGGGATAAGGCAGAACTGTTTGCAAAGAACTTTTCTTCTAATTCCACTCTTGAATCTTATGGACATTCTCTTCCTTCCATTCCAGTCAAACAGGTTGACCCATTGTTAGACATTCAAATCACTCCGGCTTCTGTTGCTAAAGTCATATCTCAATTAAACTCATCTACAGCTTGTGGTCCAGACAACATTCCTGTCACAGTCTTGCAGAATTGTTCTCCAGAACTTTCTTCAATTCTCTCTAAACTATTTAACAAGTGTTTGACTGAGTCTTGTTTTCCTGCTTGTTGGAAAATGGCATCTGTGGTTCCAATATTCAAAAACTCTGGAGAAAATTCTGACCCCTCCAATTATCGTCCGATCAGTCTTCTTTCTGTTATTAGCAAGGTCTTTGAGTCTTTGATCAACAAATTCCTCACATCTCATCTTGAGTCAAATAAACTGCTGTCAGACAATCAATACGGTTTTCGATCCTCTCGCTCTACGGCCGACTTGCTAACTGCTGTAACTGAAAGATTTTATCGTGCATTAGATGGAGGTGGTGAGGCTAGGGCTATTGCTCTTAACATATCTAAAGCTTTTGACAAAGTTTGGCATGCTGGTCTTCTCCATAAGCTTGCTTCATATGGTGTTTCTGGGAAAGTTTTTGAGATTATCAAATCATTTCTTTCTGACCGGTTTATTAAAGTCATCCTTGAAGGCCAACACTCTTCTTTATTTCCAGTAACTTCTGGGGTTCCCTAAGGTTCCATCCTGTGCCCTGTTTTGTTTCTTATCTACATAAACGATCTTCCTGACAGCCTTTCATCTAAAGTAGCTCTTTTTGCTGATGACTCAACTTTATACTCCTGTCTTGACAAAAAGTCTACTCTTTTCGATCGCCTAGAACAAGCAGCTGATCTTGAATCCGATTTCACTTCAGTAATAGATTGGGGTTCACAGTGGCTTGTGAATTTCAAC